ATTTTAATTATTGTATTGTTTTAAGTGTTTTGCACTAGAAATTAGATATGTGCAGTGTGCATAGGAATGCATGTTTTTTTTCAAATTATAATCCAACCCTCCAACAGTTTGAGGGACTGTGACCTGGCCCTTTGTTTAAAAAGTTTAAGGACCCCTGAATTAAACTATTAAGTCAAGGTATCACTGTATATTTAAACACCTCCCTCAATCACACTCTTCTCTTCTGTCTCCTTCAATGTTTGTCCAGATTCTAAGCTTATTCATTACATTGCTGATCTTCCCGTTGAGGTCTGATGCAGTATTTCAATACTTTCTTCCATAGCTCTTTCTATTTCTTCCCCACTGCAGGTTTTTCCAGATTCTAAGCTTAAACCTCTATCTCTCCCCTCTCTTCCTATTCTTCAAATCTGGTCCAGTGATTCAATGGTTTATTCTGTAGCTGTCTTCTTGTTCTTCTCATTGAACCTTAATGTAATATTTAAACACTTCCCTCCACAAGCCCTTCTTTTTTCCTACTCCTTCAATACACTGTTCAGTTTCTAAGGTCTTCCCTCATCACTTCATTACTAGTCTTCCCATTGTAGTCTGATCAAGTCTGTCAATGCTTCCCTCCATAGATCAGTTTGTTTCTTTCCCATTGCAGACTTTTCCAAAATCTAACCTTTTTTCATCTCTTCCCTACTTTCATTCTTTTTCAAACCCAATCCAGTGTTTCAACAATTTATAACATCACTCCTGTTCTCCTCATTGATCCCTAATTTAATATTTAAACACTTCCCTCCTCACACTCTTATTTTCCTTCAGTGCTTATCCAGAATCCAATCATCATGTAATTACTGATGTTCCCATTGAAATTTGATCCAGTATTTTCAGAACTTTCCTCCATAGCTCCCTTTGTTTCCTTCCCATTGAAGATGTTTCCAGACCAGTTTTGCTTTTTCCTCCATTGCTCCCTTATCTATCTTCTGATCAAACCCATCCAGATTTTCAACACTTTCTCCTTACTACCCAGATTTTCTTTCTCGTTGCAACATGTCCAGGTTTTAAGGACTTTCTTCCCCCACTTCTCTGAAATCTAAGGTCTTTCCTTCATGCATTCCCATTGAAGTCTCATCCAGTCTTTAAATATTTTCCTACCATCTCACACATCTTTACCTTTCCATTGCATTCTGATTCATAGTCTAAGATTTTTCTTTTATTATCTTCTCACCAAAGTCTGACCCAATATTTCAATATATTCATCCATAGCTTGTTTCTTTCCATTGAAGCTTATTTAGAATTGAGGGTCTTTCCACTATCACCTGTTCCAAGCCAAGCCTTACCCAGTATTTCTATAGTCTGGTTGATAGCTCTTTTTTGTACTCATTGATCTCCAATCCTGTAGTTAATCAGTTCCTTCCACAGCTCCCTCATTTTCCTTTCATTGCACAGCTAATACATAGTTATCTTGGCCTTATTGAAATCTAATCCAATATTTAAACATTATGTCAATAGTTATTTTCTTTTTCTTCTCATTATTGGCTTATTTAGAGCTTTATCTGTCTTCCTAGTCGGGTATGATCCAGTATTTCATCATTTCCTCCATAGCTCTCTTCTCTTCTTTTCCTTCCTTTGGAGGCTTAACCAGAATTTCAGAATTTCCTTCATCACTTCCCTACATACTTTTCCATTGAAAGCCAGTCCAGTAATTAAATACTTTGATCCATATCTACCTTCTTGGTTCCTCTCATTGAACCCTAATTCAGCATTCAAACACTTCCATCTCTAGCTTCCTTCTTTTCCTTCCCATAGAAGGTTTATCTAGAGCAGTGGTTCTCAACCTGTGGGTCCCCAAATGTTTTGACCTTCAACTTCCAGAAATTCTAACAGCTGGTAAACTGGCTGGGATTTCTGGGAATTGTAGGCCGAAACACCTGGGGACCCACAGGTTGAAAATCACTGATCTAGAGTCTTGGGTCTTCCTTTCTTCACTGCCTTACTTATCTTTCCAGCGATCTTATCCAGTATTCAAACACTTCTTTCCATAGTTCTATTACTCTCATTGAATCCTATTATAGTATTTCAAACCTTTATCCAAAGCTCTTTTCTATTATGTCCTGTAGCAAAAATAATGTTAAAAATTTCCATTATCAACTTACCTACCTTCTGATCCAGTACTTCAATACTTTTCCTTTTCATTGAACCATAATCCAGTAGTTAAACCTGTTGTCCATAGGGACCTGTCTTTTCCTTCCCTTTTCATACTAATTCATATTCTAAGGTCTTCCTTTACTTCCCTTCATAGCACCAATTCCTTTTCCATTGAATGTTCAGATTCTAAGGAATTTCTTCCTTCACTCCTGTTACCTATCTTCTCATCAAAGTTTCAACCAGTATTTCAGCAATTTCCTCATTGCCCCCCTTCATGTATTATCTAGTTATGAAATTATTTCCTCAATAACCCCTTATTTACCTTCCCATTGAAATCTGATCCAATTTTTCAACACTTTCATCAATATCTCCCTTATTTTTCATTCACTTCAAGTCTCATCTGGTTTTTAAATGCCTTCTTCCATTATCTTATCAAAGTCTAATCTAATATCTCAACACTTTCCGTCATAGAACCCCTAATTTCTAACTAATTGCAGGCATTTACAGACTGTAGGGTCTTTCTTCCATCGTGACCTTACTTATCTTCCCATCAAAATCTGATGTGGTATTTCAATACTTTGATGCATAACTTCCTTCCTGCCTTTCTCATTCAATCCAGTGCAGTATTTAAACACCTATTGCATTCTTACCTGCAGTATAATTGATTTCTCCAGACACTCCATTTACCTTCCCAGCCATGTTTCATCTTTTCCTTCTCATTGAAGCCTCACCTAGATTTCATTTCCCACATCTTCCAAGAAACTCTGTCCAGTATTTAGGCACCTTCTTCCATCACACCCTTGCATATAGAAGTCTCATCTAGTATTGAAACGCTTTCCTCTGTAGACTCCTTCTCCATCTTACCATTTGAAACCTGATCTAGATTTTAAATTCCTTCTTGCATTACTCTTGTATCTACTATCACATCAGTTTCATCCTGATTGTATACTTCTTGCCTCGGTGCTCTTTTGAAACTCATCTAGTACTTAAACTCCTTCCTTCATCTCTCCTTTTTCATTTGAAATTGTATCCATAATTTTGTTTCTAGCCCCATTTCTCCCTTGCACACCTTCCAATCAAAGCATCACCCAGATTTTTAAAGTCTTTGCTCCATTGCTCACCAAGTCTCATTGAAGTCTTCTAATGAAAGTTCAGTGAGAACGTTAGTAATAGAGCTATGGAGGAAGGCCATTATAAACGACTTCCTCCATCATTCCCATACCCATCTTCCAATTGAAACTTCATTTAAACTCCTTTCTTCTTCATTCTTTTCCTTCCATTCAAAACCTCATTCGTATTTCATCATCACAAATCATGTTAGCTTGTATTTCTCAATATTTTATAGCATCACCTCTGTTGTTTTGTCCTTGTTTGAATTGGAATCTAGCGATTCCTGCAGAATCTAAGTGTTGTGGATAGCATGGAAGAGGGTTTGCTGAGTGTGGGCTAGGTTGTTGAACTAGATCTCAGGCAGGAACAGCAGCCTCCCTCAGCCACATACAGAAGTGACAACTACTGAGCCTGCTGCTGGCCAGACACAAGAGGCTTCAATTAAGCAGGCAAAGAAAGCGGTTAGCTGTGCCTTCCTCAGCTAAGGAGATTAGCAAGGCTTGCTGAGAAGAATGCTGACAATCGGGTTCAGCACTTTAGGGCTTGTAGCGTGTTATCCGATTGCTGGCTGCAACTTCTGTATCCATGCCCTGGGCCTTGGAATCTTGACTCTTGTGCACGTTTTGGAATTTGGACTGCTCCTGAATTTTGGCTCTTGATTTGGCTTTCCCTTCTACTTGTTCTCCTGGGTTCTGTTTCTACTTTGGACTTAATTGACTTGGCCTAGGACTGTACTGTTGTACTCTCCTGTCAATATTTTGAGTTCGAGGTTCTTGACACTAGGTTGAGAACCTATGCTCTGGCAACTTTATTGTTATTTTGCCCATGTCAATAGAATTTAGGTGGCCTTTATTGACTGTTAGAATATATTGGGCTAGCTCATGACTTTTCTTTATGCACCTGGAGTATAGCGAAGAACATAAATTGTTCCACATACACTTTATGGTGGGGTAGACTTTTGATGCCTGATTTTTTAAAATGGTAGAAATCAATTCGATTTCCTGTTTTGGCGCTGTGGTGATGTCAGTCAAATTGTGCTACTGGAGAATGTTCAAAGGAATGTATCAAAGGTTTATGCCAAATCGTGCTGCCTTCTTAAGACAATAACTCCACTTTATCCTTTATAATGCTGCCATGTATACCCTACACCCGCTTTGGAAAATTTGGGGTCCTTACGGTAAATATCTTTGTATGGATGGCAGCTATGTAGTTCAGATGGCTTATTTCTGAGGAAATACGTATATTTTAGCTACCTTTGGTAAATTTACTGATTTTAAACTTTTTTTGAGGAGGTGATGAATAAAGTATAACAAACCCTAACAAATACTTTCTCCCATACCATTGTCAATCCATCTTCTGAGGTCAATATCTGATGCTTTTCTTCAGGTGCCACTGCCTTCTGTGACCAAGTTGCTGATGTTTTCATTGGTGCTCCCACTCTGTGAAATGGTCTCCCAGAGTATGGAGCAAATATTTTTACTCCTCTTACCTATACTTTCAAGATTATATGTGTTACTGTTTTTTAAAAAAAATTGTATATGTTTTTGCATCTGCCTTTTGTATTGACGTTCACCTCTTGAACCTAAAGGTTCAGATTAAAAAAATAATGCAGAGTTCAGTAAGTGATTGACTTATATAAAGTCTAGGAAACTTTGTGAAGCCACTACCTTGGATTTTCATTGCAGTAAATCTTTTTAGAAATTGGAGTTTGTAACATTGAATGAAAAATGTGAGATATAACATTGCGCTTTAATTCCTAGATGGTAGTGAAAACATTTATGGATATGGACCAGGACTCAGAAGATGAGAAACAACAATATCTCCCTTTAGCATTGCACCTTGCATCAGAATTCTTCCTCAGGAATCCCAATAAAGATGTCCGTCTTCTTGTAGCATGTTGCTTGGCTGATATCTTTCGAATTTATGCCCCAGAAGCCCCTTACACCTCCCATGACAAACTCAAGGTAAAAGTGTTCAAAAATAATTTCCACCTGTTCATTTGTACTGTGGGTAGAAATTCTTTTGTTTTGAGAAACAGTAGTTAAAACAAACCACCATTTGTCTGAGTTTGGGCATAAAAGGGTGCTGTTCATACAAAATAGGGCTTTGCTAGAAGAGCGGATGGTGGGCAGTGCAGTTTGCCTGTCCCCAGAATGACAGTGTATCAGTTCATCATTATGTTCAAAGTAGATCATTGGGAAGTTCTCTGCTGGCAACAATTTTTTTCGTATGTAAAATGCATTTTTAAAAAGCATTTTCAATTTTCTTTTTTTGCAGGATATATTCTTGTTTATTACAAGGCAATTAAAAGGTTTGGAGGACACGAAAAGCCCTCAATTTAACAGATACTTTTATTTACTAGAGGTAATGTTTTCTTTTACATTTGTTTTACATTTCCAGTCAAGTGAGCATAATGTCAAGGTGCTATTTTCATAAACGTATTTTATTATTAGTGCATTCTCTGTAAAAATAAAGAGAACAATATACTTATCACTCTGATCCTAGATTTCTTCCAATGACATTTTATTATAAAGAGTATGTCAAGATGCGAAGCTATTTCGATATTGTGAGAGCAGAAGCGTATACTTTTCCTAAATGAGAAATGCTCTGAATTTGAATGTGGTAGCTAGCAAACCACTCAATAAAATTCTGCATAGCTCATACTAGAGCACTACTTTGAAGGATATGATGGTTATCAGCTGCATTTTTAGTAACCCGATGCTTTGTTTTTGTTGTAGAATTTAGCTTGGGTTAAATCTTACAACATCTGCTTTGAGTTGGAAGATTGCAATGAGATTTTTATTCAACTTTTTAGGACTCTCTTTTCAGTTATCAAGTAAGTTACTTTACTTTAAACTCCTGTCCAATCTTTGTACCATGCAGGTTTCTGGGGGTAGAAAAGAATATAGCAGAAATAACAGAATTGTGATTACTAAATTATAAATGTGATGATCCTTTTATATTAAAAGGTGGGACAAGCAAGACTAAAATGCATTTTATGGGTTGCTAAGATAATTGCTGTAGTGAAAACATGGCGGGAAACCTCATGTCCCCAGCCAAAACTATACTTACCTTTGGAACAGGCCATTGTATCTTATGGATATAAAGACAAGTTCTCAGAGTTCTGCCACATGGTTGCTGCTTCGTTATGTCAATAATCACAGAAGGCTGTAAACATTGAGTTTAACTCATAAAATCATAGAATCATAGTTAGAAGAGACATTTTGGGCCATCCAGTCCAACCACCTGCCACGAAGCAGGAAAATCACATTCAAAGCAACCCTTAGCTTCCATTAAGTCCTGTGGAATGAAATAATCTACTATGGTTGCAAATTGAGAAGATATCTAGAGAGGAAGCAGAATCTTGTCCCAGACCCAGCTATAAGAAATTAGAGTTATCCTGCCAAATGCAGAGTATTGCAACTCTTTTATGTTGTAAAATTGAGTGGCTGCTATTCCTTCCTGTTTCATAAGGTGGGGAAATGCTGTAGTTAGAGGTAGTGCTACATTGGGAGGAAAGTCCAACTCTTGTCCCAGAAACTGCAATGAGAGCGATAGACTGGAGTTGTTAGGGTCTTCTGTAACATCAGTCCTCTACTACTTATAAGAATAAAGTAGTGATAAGAGGTGATAGTACTAAAAGTGGACAAAGCTGACTTAGATGGCAGTTTGATTTATTAGAAGTGTTGTAGAACTAGAACTTCCTAGACCTGAGTGTGAAGAGCTGTCTCAGTAATTCTGACTGGGCTTAGGAGAGAAGTTTCAAATACAATACTGTATTGTATTAAAAGAAGTGATGTTAAAGAATGTGTAACTTAATTCTCTAGTTTTAGCAGCTAGATAGTCCGTTTTGAACTGTTTAACACATATATTCTAATTCTAATGTTAATGTCACGTTTAGTAATAGCCACAACCAGAAAGTGCAGATGCACATGTTAGATTTGATGAGTTCTATCATCATGGAAGGCGATGGAGTGACACAAGAACTATTGGACTCGATTCTTATCAACCTCATTCCTGCACACAAGGTTTGCAAAGGTTTTTTTTCCCCCAGTGTCCTTTTCCCCTTCTCTTCCATAGTATATTGTTATCCTTCTGTCTGTTGTATATTTTGATTACTGAATGGCAGAAGTAAGCAGAAGCTTATGCTGGCCACTTCCTTCCTTTGCTTGTTATTTTGGTGTAGTTTCTCCCATACTAGGAGTAAGGTGGGCTATAAATTAATTAAATAAATAAAAATAGTTGCTTCCCATATAAGCATTTTGATTTATAGGAGTAATACAGCCTTGACTTGAGGGATAACCTGCTCCTATCCTTATCTCAATCGAGTTTTTTTAACATTTTGTCACTGTGATTGTGATTATTGTAATGTTATTTTGTTACTGTATTCATATGTTTTTTAATGTAATTTTAATGCTGTTGCTTGTTGCTTATGTTTTGGTTTATCTTGCTGTAATGTGTTGTCCGGGCTTGGCCTCATGTAATCTGCCCCAAGTCCCCATTGGGGAGATGGTGGCGGGGTATAAATAAAGATTATTATTATTATTGTTATTATTATTATTATTATCATCCTCATCATCATCTTATAGACAAAAATCAATGACTGGGATGTGCTATAGGGTGAGATAGATGGGTTTATGGCTGGCTCCATAGAACTGGCAAAGGACTTTTATGGAGCCTTGGGGAGCTGTTTTACAAGAAATCTGTTAAAATTGAGGTATCGGGTGATTTTCAGTGTGTATTTATAGGATCTGAATCAGAAAATGTACTATAGCACTTCTTAATTGAACATGAAGTTTTGATATTGAGTTCACAAAAATTTGGGTGCATATGAAACTACTATTGTATTTAATTATGCTTAACTTTTTACCCAAACGAGGGGGCACGAGACTATGTAAACTTATTCACCCTCCTCTCCTTATTCAAGAAGTAAACCATTTTTGTCAATGGATGACTCAAGAATTTTGGAAGTACATATGGTATTCACATGTATAAGATAAACTTTTTAGAAACTGTACTTTAATTGGGTTGTTGTAGGTTTTTTCGGGCTATATGGCCATGTTCTAGAGGCATTCTCTCCTGACGTTTCGCCTGCATCTGTACTTTAATTTTCATTGAAATCCATCTATCTATAGATATCAGACAATATTTCTTGATACTGTTTATAACAGCTGCATTTTTTCTTTGTCTTTGTATTCTAGAACCTTAATAAACAGGCATTTGATCTTGCTAAAGTTCTGTTGAAAAGGACGGTCCAGACGATTGAGCCTTGTATTGCCAATGTATGTAATATATTTATCAGCATACCAGTGATTACCTCTGCCTTAAACTGTTTGGACATTTTTGTGTAAATCTATCAAAACATTGGAAATTGGGGTTGACATAGTATAAACATTGTAGACTCATTACATTATATGCCATGAAAAAGCTTGGAATTTACACTTTAGTTCTAACCTAAAGTTCGTTGAAGTAGAGTAACCATTTTATGATATGAAGATTTCACTGAAAAACCTTCAGATTATTGTTAATTTGTGTTTGTGCTTATTTATTCATTTATCTCACCCTTATATGAGAAATAATTATTTCATATGCACAGCACAGGAAGGATAGGTGGGAATGGCAGAACTTGGTTGCTTACCAATGCCAGCTCATATAAGTGTATAGTTGTTTTATTTATTTTTAAAAACATTCTTAACAAAAATATTTTCTCTTCTAGTTTTTTAACCAGGTTCTGGTACTAGGAAAGTCTTCTGTAAGTGATTTGTCAGAGCATGTATTTGACCTAATACAAGAGCTTTTTGCTATTGATCCTAGTTTATTGCTGTCTGTCATGCCACAGCTTGAGTTCAAACTAAAGGTAAGAGAAACTATTCTCACATTAGTGAAATTGATTTTATATGTTAAAAAATGCAGTGATCCTTAACATGTGTCTTTAAGTGACAATGGCAGTGTCTGTACTTTAGTCGGGTTCCAGAGAAATCGTTCCACACGTCTTTGGACTTTGTGAAATAGAAGCATTATGTGCTGTGTTACAAACCATTTTGAAAACTTGAGAGAACAAATAGAATTAGTCGATGATATGGCATGAAATTCTCTCTTGGTAAAAAAGAGTAAAATTCTGACCATGAGATAGTCAAAAGCAGTGTTTGGATGAGTGTCTTGTGCAATAGAATGATGAAATGGTTTGTTGCAGTTTCATTATAAGTCAAAGTTCACCAAAGATTATTCTCTGGTTATTTATTTATTTATTTATTTATTTATTTATTTATTTATTTACAGTGTTTACAGAGTCCCCTTGTCACCCTGCAGGAGACTCGGGCAGATTACAATGCACATATACATGGCAAACATTCAATGCCAATTAAACATACAACATATACAAAGGCAATTTAACATTCCATGAGAGTATGCTCGATTCCAGCCATAGGGGGAGATGCTGCTTCACCGTTCATTTGTGACATCTAGTCCTTTGATGAAGTACTTCCTCGTTCTTCTGAATGCTGCTGGAAGGTTTCATGGCGTCGTAAATTAGTTAAATTAGCCTTCCCGCTTAAAGGAGTACCTAAATTTCCTACTTGAGAGATGCAACTGTCTTTCAGGCTGCAAAGGTTGACAGCAAGCTAGACTAATGGCTGGAACCTCACTCCGACCCGGGTTAGCTTCGAACTCATGACCTCTTGTCAGTAGTGATTTAATGTAGTTGGCTATCAGCTAGCTGCACCACAGCTAGTGTTAGTGGTTATAATATAGCAAACTCATAAGAATATATTAGGATATTAAATCTGAGACTTAAAACACCTATTATTAGTTTTTTATTGTTTAAAGAAAGAATTATATAAGTTGCATGAACTTGACACTTAGATATTTCAGGGTTTTGGTTTTTTTAAAAGTTATTACACAATAGCTGTTCTTCCTTTTTTCAATTTATAGAGTAATGATGGAGAGGAACGTTTAGCTGTTGTAAGGCTTTTAGCTAAGCTGTTTGGTTCTAAAGATTCTGACCTTGCAACACAAAACCGTCCACTTTGGCAGTGCTTTCTTGGCCGGTAAGAAAACATATGTTTATATATTTGATTATATTGGTCTCATAAGCAGCTGTTTTCCAATAAGTTCTCTTTCCATAAAACAAATCTTCTGAAATATTTGATTTCAGTATGGTCAGGCCATTGTCTGCTAGTTATCATTAGATCAAGTTCTGTTTTAAGAAAAGGGCATATGAAGTTTCATAACATGTTAGAACCAACATTAGAAAGTCTTGGTGTTGGTTATAATTTTAATGAGAGATAAAGTCTCTCTTTTATACAATAACTGTTTTTCATTCTTTGAAATGATAACTATACAATAAATCTATCTAAGAGTTTTGTGTTCTTTTGACAGGTATATACACTCGCTATGTTTTGCTCTTCAGCTTTTATTGTAGTTATTTACCTATTTCAGTGCAATTAACTGCAAATATTAGCATGCATACTGTTGAATAGGCTTGTTTGATTTTAAAAAATGGTTCAAAACTCATTTCAGATATTGGGGGGAAGCTGGTAGTTCGGATATAAAATCAATTCCGATTTTCACAGAAAAAAAAGTTCAAAACTTTGCAAAACTTCCGAGACTTCTGAATCCTTCGTTAATGGTTTCAAAGTGTTATTTCCTGTTTCATTGGGTGGTCTTTACTTTGAAAGTAGTTGTTTTACTCCGGAAAGGGGGGGGGGAGCAAAAGGAAGAAATCCATCCACTCTGGTTAAAACCGCATCTCTCGCTTAAGACTGACGCGGGAGGGAAAGGAAAGGAAGGGAATCCATCCACACTGATTTAAACTGACACAGATCCATCCACTTTGGTTAAAACCGCTTGTCTTGTGGGAGGGAAAGGAAGGGAATCCATCCACACTGGTTTAAACTGACTCTGGAGGGAAAGGAAAGGAAGGGAGTCAATCCACAGTGGTTTAGAATGCTACTCTGGCTTGAACCGAGGCCAGGAAACAGAAGCAGGGGAAAAGTGGAATCATTTCCGACTCACTGATTTGTAAGAGAAATGGCGGAAAAGGCTTCGGAAGGGCAAAGGACTTCTGGTTTCCTTAAAAACTTCAAAATCGCTTCAAAAAGGAAATCTTTCCAAATTTATTCCGAATTACGAAGATTCTGACCGAACCTAACCATGCCTAATGTTTAGCTGTTTGTATTTGAGCTTATTTTCCTTTCCTGTTTGGCTTATTCTTAATTATGTTCACTCTTAACTATGCATTTTATTTACCTGTTTTAAATAATATTTCAAATAATTCTGACCTAATATCTTTCCTTCACCTAGATTTAATGATATCCATGTTCCTGTGAGATTAGAAAGTGTGAAATTTGCAAGTCACTGTTTAATGAACCATCCAGATTTAGCAAAAGATCTCACTGGTAAGAGTCTCTCTTGTTTTTGAGTAATTAAACTAAGGAGTAAGGGGATAATGATTTCAGGTAAAGGTGGAAATACCAATACAATGATTAAAACATTAATGTCTAATGTGATTATTTTATTCAACTGAAGGATTAAAAATACAATCGAAGGCATTTTTTCTACCAGGAGTAGGGGCTGATGTGGGGATTCACATATTGTGCACTGTTCAAGATACAACATGAGGATGAGTTGATGCTCAAAATATACTGAATCTTTCAATACAATTATCCTGTTTTTTTCTCTTTTCCTTTTTCTTTGATACACAGAGTACCTAAAAGTTAGATCACATGATCCAGAAGAAGCCATTCGACATGATGTCATTGTTACAATAATAACTGCTGGTAAGAGGGACCTCTCTTTGGTCAATGACCAGCTACTAGGCTTTGTCAGAGAGAGAACGCTGGACAAGAGGGTAAGATGAACTGAAATCCATATTTTTAGCCAAAATGACATTGTTATTTAATTTTATGAGGCCATTAATATTTTAATTTGCAAGAAGCTTATGCACCCGTTTGGCCAAAATGTTATTGTACAGTCTGGCACTGTTCCCTTAAGTCATTGAACAGTAGCCCTGTCAGGCTTCGGTCTTAAAAAACAAATGTTTATGAACTTATTTTTATATTCCACTTGAACAGAAAATAACATTATAATAATGGCTCTTCTGATTTAAATTACTGTTATTGGCTATAAGCATGCCTACAATTAAAACATTTTAAATACAAAAATTTCTTCTACAGTTCTAGAGCAAAACAATTTTGACATTCAGCTTTTTTTGTTTTTAAGTGGCGAGTAAGAAAAGAAGCCATGATGGGCCTTGCCCAGCTATATAAGAAATACTGTCTTCATGCTGAAGCTGGGAAAGACGCAGCGGAGAAAGTGAGCTGGATTAAGGATAAACTTTTGCACATATATTATCAGAATAGTATCGATGACAAGTGAGTTAATTTTAAGCCATTTTCCTAAAATTCAATTGTATAGCAGAATGATCTGCATCTGTTCCAAAAAAGAAGTTAAATAAAATACCCTGGGTTCAATTCTACCATCACGGAAACTATAGCTTGTATATAGGGAATAATCTCTGGAGTTGCATATTTCTTTCATCTCCCTTTAAAGAACTGGAATTTCTGAAATGGACAAATTGTGACTTAACTCCCAACGTAAGCCTCAGTCCATATTAGAGTTCCCTATCTGAATCCTAAATTGAGGACAAAGTATGCTTAATGTTAGCTGGTTCATATGAACCATATATTATGGAAAACTTACAAAAAAATTCAATTTATAATAGAACTGGGATTTTTTTTTATCGTGTCAGAAGCGATTTGAGAAACTAGAAGTCGCTTCTGGTGTGAGATAATTGGCCGTCTGCAGAGACGTTGCCCAGGGGAGGCCCGGATGTGTTATCCTGTGGGAGGCTTTTCTCATGTCCCCACATGGGAAGCTGGGGCTGATAGATGGGACGTCACCCTGTCTCGTGGATTCGAATCGCCGACCTTCAGCAGTTCAGCCAGCACAATAATAATACAGAAAATCAGAAACTGAAATCCAGTCATTGACCAACGCAGTCAGAATCTTCAGCACTGACATCAGTATGGAATTCGGCCTAGACAAATGTGCCACAAGGGAGAATTACTCACAGTGAGGGCATAGAGATGCCAAACGGACAAACCATAAAATGCAATTAGCCTGAAGCATATAAATATCTGGGCATACTAGAGTTGGACAATATCAAACATGGGCATGTGAAAAATATGGTCAGCAAAAAATATGTCCAAAGGGTCATTTGGAGAGCAAATTAAATGGCGGAAATACGATCAAGGCTATCAATACCTGGGCTATCCCCATCATCGGATACACTGCTGGAATTGTGAACTTGACACAAGCAGAGCTGGATGATCAGGACAGAAAAACAAGAAAACTGATGACAATCCACAGTATTCCCTCGCTACTTTGCGGTTCGCTTTAAGCGGACTCGCTGTTTCACGGGTTTTTGAAAATACAATATTTACGTCCAGTGGAGGCCAGGGACCTCAGAAGTGTGGCGGCCTGAGGCGCAGCGGGGAAGGCCTGTCCCTGGCCTCCACAGACCCCGGAAGTGCAGCGGCCTGAGGTGTGGCAGGGAAGGCCTGCCTCCTTGGCCTGTTGCTGCCTGCATGGCTCCAAAGGCTCTGCAGAGATCAGGAAGGCAGGCAGACTCCCCTGGGTTGGGCCGGGAGGTGGGTAAGGAAGTGCAGGTAAGAAAATAATATATATATATAATAATGTATACATTTTTAAATTAATATTACGTCCCTACTTCTCAGATTTTCACTTATTGCGAGTGGTCCTGGAATGGAACCCCCGCAATAACTGAGGGAACACTTCTAGTTATTATATCCGGGTGGTGATGTCGACAAGACTTTACCTGCCCAGAAAATCAGGAGGCAGAGGGCTTCTGCAAGTGAAGCAAACGGTAGAAGAAGAGAAACATGCACTGGCAGATTATGTGAAAGGCAGTCAAGAACCAGCATTGAGGGAAGTCAATAGTAGAAAACCGGTTCAAGTGCAAAAGTGAATAATGTAAAAATACAATGCAAAGCAGAAGAGAAAACTGGCAAAAAAAGGCTCTCCATGGACAGTTCGTGGGAAAAATTGAGAGCAAAATTGTCAAAGAAAAAACATGGATGTGGCTCACCAATTGAACTTTGAAAAAGGAGACCGAGGGCCTGATTCTTGCAGCCCAAGAACTGGCAATTAGAACAAATGCCATCGAATCCAGAATTGAAAAGTCAATGACAGATCCCAAGTGTAGACTCTGTAAGGAAGCAGACGAAATGATAGATCACATCTTCAGCTGCTGCAAGAAGATTGCACAGACAGACTACAGACGTTCATACTCTCTTTCATATATGAACAGTCAGATGTGTCCTGTTGGCCCTTGAGATCAGATGCAATCGTTCCGTGAGATGCATGGAAATGGGCTGCAGTCTGTCTCAAGCCACAGGTTCTTTAACCTCTGTTTTGTAGTCCTTTTTTAAAAATGGAAACTTAGACTTCTGGTGACCCCTTGGTTAAAATTCTTGGCCCTTTGTCAAGAATAACAAAAGTACATCCAGTCCTTGCACTGAGTTAGTTTTTTTCCATATATATAGAGAGAGAGAGCCGGGGGGGGGGGGGGGGTACTTTGCTATTGATTTTGTCCTTAGATAAAAAAAAAAGTCTCCCTTCCTAAGCAGGAGCAAACAAATTTATTCCTTTATCTTAGTAAAGGGGGTTACTGTATATACCTGAGTGTAAGCCTAGTTTTTCAGCCATTTTTATAGGCTGAAAAAGTTATACTCGGGTCAATGTTATTTATTATTTTACTCTATTATTATTACATTTATTTTTTACTCAATTATTATTACATTATTATTTTACTTTATTATTATTACATGTATTATTTGACTATTGTTATTATTACATTTATTATTTTACTCTGTTATTACTGTTATTACATTTCCATTATTTTACTCTATTATTATTATTATTATTATTATTATTATTATTATTATTACATTACGTTACTCTCTTTATTCTTATTGGAAGGATACATAAGCACATTTACGTTGAAGAAGGTTAGAATCAGAGTTGGACAGTCTTATCTTAAATTACAGTGTTATGTAAATATTCAAAAACATTTAACTTTCTGATGCCTCAGTTAATGTAATGTTATTGGTATCTGTTTTTATTTTAAAACTGACCAGTAGCTTCTGTATTTCCCACCCTAGGCTTATACTCGAGTCAATACATTTTCCCAGTTTTTGTGGTAAAATTAGGTGCCTCGGTTTATATTCGGGTTGGCTTATACTCAAGTATATATGGTATATCTGATATTCTATATTCTTTTCAGTAGGAATAATTGGGGGGGGGGGGGTTTGGGGGGGGGTTGTATTTGGAGGAGGAACATATGTATGTAAAAGTTGAAAGCATGATCAACAAGAGGTGCATCTACACCATATCATTAACGGAGTTCAGCACCACTTTAACTACCATGACTCAATGCTACGGAATCGTTGGAGTTGGGTTTTAGTGAGGAACCAGCACCATTTGACAAAGAAGACTAAAAACCTTGTTTAATGCAGCATTGACCCATGGCAATGAAAGTGGTATCAAACTCTACTCTACAATGTAGATGCACCCCCTGGACACCTAGATTAATATTTATAATTTGAAAGCTAAACAATTTTGTATAAATCACCAGTTCTCAATTTCTTTTCTTTTGCAGATTACTGGTAGAGAAAATCTTTGCTCAATATCTTGTTCCTCATAATTTGGAAACAGAAGAGAGAATGAAATGTTTATATTATTTGTATGCTAGCTTAGACCCAAATGCTGTTAAGTGAGTATTCATTTACAAAGCAATTTGAAATGTTGTTAAAAGTAGAAATGTGGCTATATAATATCTAATATGAGTAGATTAGCAGCATAATAACTATCAAATGGAGTGAGGAGTCTGTCAATCCTTTTTGGTCTGTTGTGTGTGTGTGTGTGTGTGGTTAGTTTTTTTTCTACTTTGTCATTTTTAATTGTTATAATTTAAATGTTTGTAATAATGGTGTATAAATTGTATGGTTTCATATACCTAAAAATTGTTTTGTCTTGTTTTTTTCCTTACATTAAAATTAATTTTAAATCTAGCTAAGAGATGAGGAGAAATCAAGATCTACTTATACACAAAGATCATTAAAAGAAATGTGTCCTGTCTGGTTGTTGAAAGAAGCTAGTTGGCTAGTAAAAACGGAGACACCCTATTAGTGACCCAGAGAACTTCAGAGTTGTTTGTAGACTCATACTAATTGATTACATTTTAATGTTTGTTATTCTTTTTTCTCTTTTTTTACACAGGGCACTGAATGAAATGTGGAAGTGCCAGAACATGCTTAGGAGTCATGTACGGGAGTTACTAGACTTGCATAAGCAGCCCCTTGTAAGTTTAAGATTAATGTTGCTATTTCATTATTTTGCAGTGATGTCTCATAATCTCAGAAAGTAGTAACATTTGCGACATTCATAAGTATATGGTGTCACTTCACTGCTGTTTAAATTCTTACTTTAAACTTTCTAATATTCTTGTGTGAACAAACTACCAGCAGCACTTAATATAGTAAATTAAGAGTACTACATGAGCAAAAGTTAATTTTTTCTATTATGTGAGGAACGAAAATTACATTTGTCCTTTTAATAGCTTCACAACTTATCTTCATATTTCGTGGCCCAATTCTTCCAGTTCATTATCTGATAACCATATATGTGTACTTATTCCCAAATCTTAAAAGTAAAGTGGCTATGAGGAAGGAAGAGATGCAGAAAAAAAAAAATAAGCAGGTCAGGCATGCATGCCTCAGGGCAGATTTTCAATGTGAATGCTCACTCTGAACTTCTCTTTTCAGTCAGAAGCAAACAATTCTGCTATGTTTGGAAAGCTGATGACCATAGCAAGTAAGATACATAGACCAATATTAAAAATTTCAAAACAGCTTTGAACATTGCTAGTGTGAGTTATATTTTCGCATTTTAATTTTGTAGAAAACCTTCCTGATCCTGGGAAGGCGCAGGACTTTGTGAAAAAGTTTAACCAGGTTCTTGGTGATGATGAGAAGCTCCGTTCTCAGCTTGAACTTTTGATCAGTCCTACATGTTCCTGTAAACAGGCAGATGTTTGTGTGGTAAGAGTTGTTCAGTTTGTTTCCAATATAGATGTTACCAAGATGCTTATATAGCATTGCCGGGACTAATTTTTTGACTTATGACTTAAAGCGAATTCCTGTATAGGCAGTCCCCGAGTTACAAACATCCAACCTACAAGCGACTCCTAGTTAAGAATGGAGGTGAGACAACAGGAAGTGAGAAGAAATCTACCAGGAAGGGAAATTCACTCCTGTAAGATTTATCATGCGGAAAGGTGTCTCCACTGAAACTTTGTCGCTAATCCTTGTTTCCACAGCAACCCAAATGTTTCAATAGCCAATTGTCACAGGGACAGAAAATGAGGTGAAATCTTATGAATGGGCCCAGACAGCAAAACAAATGTTACCGGGGTGTAAAACTTTGATTTAGGACTGACTGCGTTCCCTCATTTCTCTTTGAAAATCCTATACCAGTCATATCCTACCTTGTTCTTGCCCAGCGTTATTTTGTAAATGTTAAACTATTACATTTGGCCCGGCCATACGTTTTTAAATGCTTGTGTGTTACTGTTTATTGTTTATGTGATTTATATTAATTGTATTGTATTGATTGTTTTTGTTATTGCTATTGCTTTTGTTATTGATATACTGTGGGCTTGGCCTCATGTAAGCTGCACCGGGTCCCTTGGGGAGATGGTAGCAGGGTATAAATAAAGTATTATTATTATTATTATTATTATTATTATTATTATTATTATTATTATAAAAGTTTTTGGTGGTAGTTACTCTTAAAAATGTACCTGTACACACTTAGATACAAATTTAGCTTAAGAACAAACCTACAGAACCTACCTTGTTTGTAACCTAGGGACTGCCTATGTTCCAGAAGCTAAAATGGTGATTTGACCACAAGAACTAAATGTAATGGAGAAAATTAGAATAACTTAAAGCAAGAGAACTATCAGAGTTATATTTGTATAAAGTTATGTGGCTGGTGGGTGCATATAGATCTGGGAATAGTAAATGTAGTAATGCACCCTGCGGGGTGAGAAGGGCGGAATATAAGAACTGTAAATAAATAATAATAAATAAATAAATAAATTGTACCATTTAAAAAAAATTATTAAAAGAATAAAATAAAATAATTTTAAAGTAATATTAAAAAGAAGCTAAAATGACCTCTTTGACATATCAGATTCAGTTTATATATGCACATTATAAATATGCCTTTATACGTGTGCAGTTTAGAGCAAATACGATAATACAGAAATTCAAAGCTAATGTTCAGGTGTCAACTAAAATGTGATAATCTAGATCAGTGTTTCCCATAATTATAGCTTTTAACTGAGAAGCAGCAATAAACTCATGTTATTTTCATTTCCCCATGTTGCTCATCTTAATTATATATTAGATCTGATTCAGGGACATTGACTTTTCTCCAGCCATTGTAACTAATAGTATTTCTGTGTATATACTGTTGTGTGTACAGAAACTTCTATATTCTCAGATTGACTTCTTAATGAAATTCCTTTAGCTATTTTTAGTTTTTATTTAATTGGTACAGGCTTCCAAACAAGTAGTTAAAACCTCCTGCCTTTATTTCCAAGCATAATTAGTCAATGAGTTGCTGTGAGTTTCCTGGGCTGTATGGCCATGTTCCAGAAGCATTCTCTGGAAGAACACTCAGAAACAGGAGAATTCCAGACAGGAAACAATCAGAGCCAGCTAACACCTCCCAACAAAGGACCCCCAGGCAGCAACCAGCCAGACTTTGAAGCTAAGAGGCCATTAAATGCTAGTCAATGGGGCCGATTGTAACATTCACACTTGCCTCAAACAGACAAAAGTTCTTTCTCTCACCCTGAACATTCCACAGATATATAACCCCTCTTCCCTAGTTTCCAACAAACCACACAACCTCTGAGGATGCCTGCCACAGATGTGGGTGAAATGTCAGGAGAGAATGCTTCTGGAACATAGCCATACAGCCCGGAAAACTCACAGCAACCCAGTGATTCCGCCATGAAAGCCTTCAACAACACATAATTAGTCAAACTATTATATCAGATTTGAGATCTGTGAGAACACAGAGATTAATTTACCAATATTTCCACTAGTCATAAATTGAGTAAAGGCTAATAGATATCTGATTCTGATTGGATTCTCAGTCATGTATTCCATAAGTTGGTGATTGGTGTGGCATATGATTATTTTAGTTTTAATAAAGTTTTCTTATTCAGTTGTTTGACTAAATGTATCTTCTTTTGTCTAATGAGGTAATTGGTTATTTTTCTTTATACAGAGGGAAATTGCACGAAAACTTGCTAATCCTAAGCAACCAACCAATCCTTTCTTGGAGATGGTAAAATTTCTTTTAGAAAGAATTGCCCCTGTACACATTGATTCTGAAGCCATTAGGTAAGTGCCACTGAGTGCCATTGCAGAAATAGTTTTTGCATTTCAGCTTTTTGTGAACAGAGAGCACACAGTTGTGGAGTCTGGATATCACTTTCCCTCATCCTTCCATGCACAGTTTTCTTTTGGTTTCATCTGCTGAAAAGCTGTCAGAATTGAAATGGTTATAATGATCGCAGAGAAGAGCAATTTGTGATGATGTGGGTTACATTTCTCTCCACTCAAAAGGAGGCAGGAATCATGCATCACAATAGAACTATGAAAAATAATCCTGTCCTCCCTCCTGTTAAATCATTTTACAATTCTCCATGATGCTGTCTTTTCATGGTTAGTGTGTGTGTCAATCAAACTTATATTCAACGAAGCCATCACCATTTAATTTTTGAAGTTTCCATTTTGTTTCTTCTGTCATCAACAAGGGACTGAATGAGGGCAAACAAATTTAAACTTAATCCGTATACAGCAGAGGTGCTCTTAGTAGTTGAATAACAGATTAGGAAATAGGAATTCATCCTGTGTTAGGTGGCATTGAAGTGCAACTTTGAACCTGAAAGCCCAGATTTCTGCAGTGACCAGGAGTGGTATTTCACGTTTAAAACTTGTGTGCCCAATTGCACCTGTTCCTTGAAACTGTGGATTTTTACATTCTGTTTCAACAACTAATGCACTATGCATGAAGTTCCCTGTGAAGAGTGTTTGGAAATTTCTGCTAATATAAAGAACAGCTAGAAAGTGTACTGGAGCAAATTACAGGGATTAGGCTACTCCCTTCTTATAGTGAACCACTGGCTGCCAGTTTGTTTTTGGGGACAATTCAAAATGCTGTTTGTGACCTACAAACCCTATATTCCATATTTCCTCTAATAATCTAATGTTCATCTTTTTTTCGGCTGGATTTGATGGTGCGTTAGAATTGCATACGTAAACCCATCTGCGTTCCTCCATCAGGCTGAGACTGGCAAACTCCTCATCCTGATGGTGGGGCATGGATTCCCAATGGACCTCATTCACTAGACCAGGGGTCCTCAAACTACGGCCGCGGGCCGGCCCCCTAAGGGCATTTATCTGGCCCACGGGGTGTGGAGAAGGGTGTAGAGAAGGCGGGGAGGCGGCGGGCAAAGCAGTTTTGGGGCCGCTTTGCCCGCTGCCTTCCTGGGCCCAGCTTGCTCTTCTCCTGCCTTCAGGACAGGGCCTCGCCTCATCCCGAAGGCAGGAGAAGGGGGGGAAGGTGGCAGGCGAAGCAGTTTTGGGGCAGCTTCGCCCACCGCCTCCCTGGGCCCAGCCTGTTGTTCTCCTGCCTTTGGGACGGGGCCTCGCCTCATCCCGAAGACAGGAGAAGGTGGGGGGCGAAGCGGCTTTGGGGCCGCTTTGCTTGCCACTTCCCCAAGTTTATATTTGTAAAAATTGTTCTTCATTTTAAATATTATTATTGTTTTAAAGTGTTTTTGCACTACAAATAAGATAGGTGCAGTGTGCATAGGAATTCATGTTTTTTTCAAATTATAATCCAGCCCTCCAACAGTTTGAGGGGCTGTGACCCAACCCTCTTTAAAAAGTTTGAGGACCCCTGCACTAGACCTTCAACATCTCCTCGGATTGGAAGGTTTTGCGAATGAGGACTTAGTTGAGAAGTTTGCCAGACTCAGCCTGATTGAGGGCCATAGCTTTCTCATGCATATTGGTCATTCCAAGGCAAACTGCAGAAAGGTTGACAGGCCAAGGAGAAGCTGTCTGTACAACAAATCGTTTTTAAAACTGAAGTATTTTAAATAGTCATTGTCTTGCTAATTGTATTTTGTGAACTCTTTTAATACTATAGTTCATTTAATTCCAGTTTAAAGTTTACTTTTACTATGCTTTTAGACACATTGTTTGTCGATTGTACCGCTTCTTGAGTCCCAATTTTGGTGACAAGGCAAAATAGAAGTACGTAGTTGTAGTTGGTAAAGGGAACTGAAGTGAGATCTTCAGATTCTGGACTTTGAAATAAAATTGGATAATAACAGGGAATAATCTATATAAATAAAAATGTAATGTTTGTTTGTGGGATTAACATAACTCAAAAACCACTGGACGAATTGACACAAAATTTAGACACAATACACCTATCACTCATAAAAACACCAAAGAACACAACAGAAGAGACTTAAAAGGCCAAAAAAGCAAAAAGATACTACCGCGCATGCATAAAAACAATTCCCCCGGCAAACAAAACACACAAAAGCATATCCACACTCTCTTTAGGACTAAAGCTCCCAGCATCCCCTAGATCAGGCCCTTTAGGGGAGGAGGATGCTCCAAATGCACTGCTTCCGAGATGCAAGCTTGCTTCCCCTTGGATTTCTTTGAGAGCATCCCAATCCATACATATTTCTTATTCCTGGACTGCAGCTCTCAGCAATCCTCCAGATAGATAAGATATATAGATTAGGTAGAGATAGATAGTAGGTAGATAGATAGATCAATCAGGAAGACTGCTGGAAGTTACAGTCCAAGAATAGATAGAGAAGGAGAAAAGGGAGGGAAAGGAAGAAGAGAAGGAAAGAAAAAAAGGGAAGGAAGGAAAGAGAGGAAGGGAAGGATGGAGAGAAAGAAGGAGAGAAAGATGGAGGGAAGGTTTTCCACAGCAACGCGTGGCAGGTAAAGCTAGTAATAATAATAAAACTTTATTTATACCCCGCCACCATCTCCCCAAAGGGACTCAGTGCGGCTTACATGAGGCCAAGCCCAGTAATACAACAATGCAAATATACAACATAAAAATACAACCACAAAATAGAAGAAAATAAGATAAAATACAAGAAACAGTATAAATAAACACATCAGAACAATATAAAATTACAGTTTTTGAACACAGAAAGTGATCTAAAAAATAAAAAAAAATTGCAATTGGATACACAAAATCAACTATGTTGTGGTTTGGAAGTCAGCAAGAGATTGATTGTTTTCAAATAACACTATGTAACAAGATTAGAAAAAAATGTTCCTGGCTTGAAATTGTTATTCCTGTTTAATTGTGCAGTGCTTCCTTTGAAAGTAGTTGTTACACTCCAGAAACTCCGTATTTATGATTGCCACAAACTATGTTGAATTGTTTGAGACTCAATGAGATTGTCATTGAAAAATGTGCTGCAGGATGTCCTACAAAAACAAAGTTTATGCAGTTTAATAAACTTTTTCCATGTTTTTATCATGGAACCAATTAGAAAATGACATTCATAACCTAGGAATAAAAATCGTGTTACATAGTGTAACTTAAATGTGCAAAATTTAGCAAAATTGAAGGTAAATTATCACTAAGCCTAGATATGTTTGAGCATGTATATATGATTTTTTTTACGAATTTTCTTAGTGCATTAGTAAAGCTGATGAATAAATCAATAGAAGGGACAGCTGATGATGAAGAGGAAGGTGTAAGCCCAGATGCAGCTATTCGTTCAGGGCTTGAACTTCTCAAGGTAATTCCTGTAAAGTCATCTAACTTACTTGCATTTTCAACTATTTTGATAGGATTTCTTGGAAGGATTCAATTGCTGCTCCTTAATTTTTTTTAATTGTTTCTTTTTATTTTGGTTACGTAACAAACATATTCCAAAACAACACACTTCACAGTATATATAAGCTTTATACAGTATAAAAATATTCATTTAAATAACACACAAGCAAATTAACACAAATTAAAGACACCCTTTAAAAAAAATCTCAATATTCCTCATTTTACCATTCAACCTTTTATCATTTGTACATCATTGTATATCATTTGTCTCAAAATTCTGTTTTCATAATTTCAAACTCTTATAACTTCTTGTATAATCATCATCAAAAAACTTTATATTTTGTAGATAAAAATTTAATGAATTCAGTCTTTGGGCCATTTGGAGCATATATATTACATATCAAGATTTTCAAACTACCCATCAAAATTTTAACTGCAACACATCTTCCTTCCACATCCTTAAATACCAATTCCGGTGCCAAATTTTCCTTTATATATGTGACTACTCCTCTTTTCTTCTTTTCGTATGATGAATAAAATGTCTTGCCTAATCTTTTATTTTCCAAATGTGCCACATGCTTGTGGCAAATATGCGTTTCTTGAAGTAATATGATGTCTAGATTTGCCTTTTGTAGTTTTCCAAATATTTTTTTCCGTTTCTGGGGCGAATTCAGACCGTTGATATTATTCGAGAGGCATTTAATTTGTCTTTCCGCCATTTTATCCAAGTAAATCTGTATCTTGTCCTGTATCGCCGAGGTTCAGTTCTGAAATTCCTTGTGCTGTCACATCCGGTCCATAAGCTCCTTCTCCTAGATCTTCTGATGTTGGTACGCCACTCCCATAACTTTTGCTGAATCGCCTGTATTCTTCTGGAGTCTCAATTCTTGGTTTTTTCTTCTCTTTACCATTGCCATTTCCATTTCCCGGTGTCAATGCCTTTTTATCTCCTTTCCTTTCTCCAGGTTTTTCATCTTCTGATTCCTTCATTAAATTCTCGTAAAAAGTCTTGGCCTTCTGCTCCGATGTCAACCAATATCTTTCTTCTTTATATGTTACCATAATACCTTCGATTCTTTCCCATCAGAATCTAATTGATCTTTTCTTAAGTTCATCCGTAAGGAAGTAGTACTTTCTTCTTCTGCTTAATGTCGCTTGAGGGTATTCTTTCAGAACTGCAATCTTGGTCTCTTTATAGTAAATTGGATTCTTGTTACTTCTATATAGCACTTCATCTCTAGTTTTTTTCCGTGTGAATTGTACTATCACATCTCGTGGCGTCTTATTTTTCCTTGAGTAAAATGAGGATACTCGATATATTTGGTCTAACTCCACCTCCAACTCATCTTCTTCACATTCTAGACATTTTGCAATCAAGTTTGTCATCAACTGACCAATATCCTCCTGTTTCTCTTCTTGAATATTTCTAAATCTTAGGTGGTAGTCCATTTGTTTTTGATCTATTTTTATCTACAAAATTGAGAGAAACAGAATTTGATGAGCTCTTATTGATAGGAGATTTTAATGGAGTGATGGATAAGAAGAAAGACAAGAATAGGTCAAAAAGAAATGGAGATGGAGGGGGGCTGCTACCGCAAAAATTTTTCGAACTTCAAAAAGAGTTTGATCTGGAAGATACTTGGAGAGTGAGAAATGAAAAGAAACAGGACTATATCTTCTACTCTTACCGACACCAAACATGGTCAAGAATAGATATGGCGTGGACTACAAAAAACTTAGCTACTAAGGTAGTAGAAATGGAAATATTACCGAGAGATATCTCAGATCACTGTCCATTGGAAATAAAAATAAATTATAAGAACTTTCAAAGAAAATGGAGACTAAATGAAAACCTGATTAAGACAGGAAGATAAAATATATTATAATAAAATTATTAAAGATTATTTAGAAATCAATGATATTGAAGAGACAAAGACACAAGTAATGTGGGATGCGCTGAAGGCTGTGTTAAGAGGTTGCCTCATTCAACATGGAGCCAGGAAAAATAAAGAAAGAAATAAACAAATGAATGAAGTGATGAATAAAATTGTGCATAAAGAGACAGAGTTAAAAAAGAAACCAGACAGCAAAAAATTGAATAAAGAATTAGCGAGACTTAAACAGGAGAAGTCCCGCTTGGAGATAGAAAGACAAGCAAGAGAGCTAAAATTCTTGAAACAGCAAACGTTTGAGAATGCGAATAGATCTGGGAAATGGTTGGCGAGACAAGTCCGGAAGAAGAAGCAGGCCACACAGATAACGAAAATAATTGAGGGAGATAGAATACTTACGACGGATAAGGAAATCATGGAAGAATTTAAGAAATACTGTAGTAAATTATATACCAGTGATGGAATAAAGAAAGAGGAAATTACTGAATATATAAGTCAATTGAAACTACAAAAAATCTCAGAGGAGATACGGGAAAAGCTGAATAAAGAGATTACGGAAGAAGAGATAGACAAAGCAGTGAATAAAATGGATGCAGATAAGGCCCCAGGCCCGGATGGATTTACAGCAGGATTTTATAAATCAACGAAGAGAACTCTATTACCAATACTGAAAAGGGTCCTGAATGAGGCATTATTGCATCAGATAATTCCAGATTCTTGGAACCAAGCTGAAATAGTAATGATACACAAAGAAGGTTCAACACCAGAGGATATTAAGAATTACAGACCTATTTCCCTACTAAATGTAGATTACAAAATATTTATGAATATTTTGGCAACAAGACTAAAAGAATTTTTGACGGATTGGATAGGGGAAGACCAAACAGGGTTCCTCCCAGGAAGATATATGAAAGATAATATACGGATAGTTTTGGACTTGATAGAATACTTTGAAGTGAACCATCAGAAGGAAGCTGCCATTTTATCAGTTGACGCGGAAAAAGCATTTGATAATCTAAATTGGGACTTTTTCAAGATTTTGATTCAAGAATTGGACATGGGGGCAAAATTCACAAATGCAATTAATGCCATTTATGAAGTACAAAGAGCAAAAATTCAGATAAACGGCCAACAATCTGAAGAATTTACAATTACGAAAGGAACGAGACAAGGATGTCCGTTATCCCCCTTGATTTTTATTATGGCATTGGAACCGCTGATGATGAAAATAAGAGAAGATACAAATATTAAGGGAGTAAGAGTAGGTAAATACGAATATAAGATCAAAGCCTTCGCGGACGATCTGTTAGGAATTGTGGAAGACCCAACAAATAACCTTCAGAATTGGATAAAGAAAATGCATGAGTTCGGAAAAGTGGCAGGCTTCAAAGTGAATAAAGGAAAAACAAAAATTTTAACTAAGAATGTAAAGAGGGAAAATCAGGAGAAGATAGTAATGGCTACAGGAATGGAAATTGTTAAAAAAATAAAGTATTTGGGAATTTGGATAACTGCAAAGAATGGCCAATTGCTGAAGAACAATTATGAAATGGCTTGGAGTAAGATACAGAAAGACCTCAAGAATTGGAAATCACTGAAATTATCCTTATTAGGAAGAATAGCATTAATTAAAATGAATATATTGCCAAAACTATTGTTTCTATTTCAAAATATACCCGTAATCAGAAATCAAATAATTTTTAAAAGCTGGAATAAAGAACTACTGAAATTTGTGTGGAATGGAAAAAGACCTAGAATCAAATATTTAAACTTAATTGACAAAAAAACAAGAGGTGGACTAGGATTCCCAGACCTAAAAACATATCATGACGCATGTGCTCTCTTATGGATCAGAGATTGGATGTTGTTAGAAAATGAAAAAGGTCTGAATTTAGAAGGCCATGACCTACGAGTAGGATGGCATGCCTACACGTGGTATGACAGAGAGAAAAAAGAAAAAAAAATTGGAAATCACTTTGTAAGAGCATCTCTGTTAAGAGTATGGATGAAATATAAGAATTATTTTTACAATAATACGCCACTGTGGGTTTCTCCAATGGAGGCACATCAAAGAAGATTGTTGGGCTGGAGAGCGTGGCCAACTTATAAAGATATTTTAATAGAGAAGACAGCTGAAATTAAGACCTATCAGCAATTAAAATTAAAAAACAAGAACCTGACATGGCTGCATTATTTACAAATGAAAGAATATATTAAACAGGACAATAAGACAGGCTTCACCTGGGAAGAATCATTATGGGATAAAATTTTGAAGTTAAAGAAAAAAGTAATCTCATTTATCTATAATACACTGCTAACCTGGTTAACGGAATGCGAACAAGTTAAACCATGTATGATAAAATGGGCAGAAAATATAAGAAGACCCATACAATTCAGAGAGTGGGAACAGATGTGGAACAAAAAGTTGAAATATGTTTATGCAACAGATTTAAAGGAGAATTGGATAAAAATGTTCCACAGATGGTATACCACTCCAAAGAAATTATCTTTAATAAATAAAAATACTTCCGATAAATGCTGGAAAGGATGCCAGCAGACAGGTACCTTTTATCATATGTGGTGGACATGTAAAGAAGTAGTGAAATACTGGTCAATGATACATGAAGAATCACAAAAAATCTTGAAAAAAGTATTTAAGAAGAAACCGGAATATTATCTACTAGGCTTTACAGACATGGAATTACAATTACAGGAAAATGAGGACAGACTTTTTACCTATATTACGACGGCAGCAAGAATTACGTTAGCAAAAATTTGGAAACAGGACAGTATCCCTACCAAGGAGGAATGGTTAGGGAAAATTAGAGAAATAAGAGAGATGGATGAATTAACTTTTTTTCTAAAAAAAAAATACCGGAAACCCGATAAAGAGGACAGATTGGACCTTTTATGATAGTTACGAGAAAGAAGATAGCAAATAAGAGAACTATTTTTAAAATAAAGGGAACATTTTTTTTTTTTGGAGTCAAAACACCTGATGTGGAGATGGAAGTCAAACTTTTTTTATTTTAATACAGTTTTTTTTGTGTATTTTTTCGGGATTTTTATCTTTACTGTTTTTTTATTTTTTGTTGCTTTTCTCCTTTTTTCCCTTTTTTCCTTTTTTTTTATTATGTATTTTTCCTTCGGATTTTTCCTTCTTGACACTTTTCCTACTGTTCTATCCTCTTTTAAATGTTCACCCTCTTTCGTTGTACTTAAGATATAACCTAATAAAAATTATTCAAAAAAAAAACTTTATTTATAGACCTCTCTCTCTCCTTGAGTGGTTAATATTTTTATTTTTATTTTATTTATATTTATATGTTATTATTAAATATTATTTATTATTTATTGTAAAATTATTTATTTTATTATATTTATATTTTATTTATACGTTGTTTATATTTTATCTTTCCTTGAACTATCTATGATGATACCACTGAAGATCCAAAACTTCCATGTTTAAAGCTTTTTTTGTTTTAAACCTGTATTGAACATTTTCTAACTATAAGAAGTTAACCATATTTCCCTTTCATTTTTATCTACCTTACGAAAGGCTTCCTGCCCAGAAATCCATAATGGTAATTTTTGACAGAGCTGGCCTTTATATTTATTCCAAATCCTTAAACTGGCACACATTAGCATCATAATGGTTGTTAAAATTGACATTTTCTTTAACCTAGTTATATCATAGGTAGTCATCCCTGTCGCCCCCCCCCCCCCCCCCCCCCCCCGCCCCCAATCTTAGTTCACGGCTCAGTTAGTAATGTCTTGTTACAGTAAACTTTAGCCATTCATTCAGCCAAACTTACTGGTAAACCATGATGTGTATCTTTCAATCTGTCAGTCCCAGTTCTCCTCTTGTCTTGAATCTTGAATGACTAAGGCTGTGATGGTGAACCTATGACACGTGTGTCACTGACCCGCATGGCTATTTTTGATGACACGCGGCCACATGCGGCTGCGTACAGAGAAGTACACCTTATAAGAGGCAATCTAATTCCATCCTTAAATTTGTAAAAGGTTCTACAAATTTAACATCTGCACGTTTGAGCATTGTTCACTCAGCATGGAATATACATTTTTCTTATTTAAACTGTAAATATTGCAAAATTATGTTGTTTTTTTCTCAAAGTTGACACCCCACCCAAAATATGCGCAGGTTTTTGGCAAATTTTGACACACCAAGTTCAAAAGGTTGCCCATCACTGGACTAAGGCATGGACCACCCTGGCCAGCTGCAACCATATCTCATGAAGTCGGATCTGGCCAGGGTGGTCCATGCCTTAGTCACCTCTAGATTGGATTACTGTAATGCACTCTACGAGGGGCTGCCCTTGAAAACGGCCCGGAAATTTCAATTGGTACAATGGGTGGCAGCCAGGTTACTAACCGGTGCTCCTTGCAGGGAGCGGTCAACCCTCCTGTTTAAGGAGCTCCACTGGCTACCGTTCATTTTCTGATCCCAATTCAAGGTGCAGGTTCTTACCTACAAAGCCCTGAACGGTTTGGGACCCGCCGACCTGCGCGACCACATTTCCGTGTACGAACCCACACGATCTCTTCAATCATCTGGAGAGGCCTTGCTCACGCTCACCCCCAGGCGCGATTGGTGGGGACGAGGGAAAGGGCCTTCTCGGTGGTGGCCCCCTGACTCTGGAACTCACTTCCCAGGGACATTAGACATGCCCCAACATTGGCAGTTTTTAGGAGGAGCCTGAAAACGTTGTTCCAGTGTGCCTTCCCAGAATAAGGAGAACTCTCAGCAATATGTCCTCACAATGCAGTTTAATACTGACTAAAGATGGACTGTGCTCCTTTGTTTCTCTCTGAAAAATCCTATCCTAGTTATATTTTACCTTGTTCACGTCAGCATATTTTCAATTTTAATCTATTACATTTTTAAAATTGTTTATGTCACTATTGATTGTTTTTTGTTTATGTGATTTATATGATTTGTATTTTATTGATTGTTTATTGATGTTGTGTTTATTGATGTTTTGTTTGATGTACTGTGGGCTTGGCCTCATGTAAGCCGCACCGTGTCCCTTGAGGAGATGGTAGCGGGGTACAAATAAAGATTATTATTATTATTATTATTATTATTATTATTATCTTGGAGAATCATTAATTTTTACGCTGGTTTTTTTAAAATTCCCATTCTTGCTAATAATGTATGTGATTGCATTTTAATGCATGCAAAAAAAAATTTTTTTTAAATCAAACACTTCCTTAGTCTCTGGAGTTGTTTACGTGTAGTACAGCTCTAGAAAAACCAAAGCTCATGAAACTAGTTTTGTAATTCTTTACTTTAAAATAGCTTTGAATGTATTTGTAGAAATGCCATTTGTAAATCAAAATAATTGTGCATGTTCTGTTATAGTATGTAATTTTCACCGTAGTTTGCTATTAAACAAAGGATAGGGATTGCTTAGGATTTCAAAAAGGAGATATGCCACCATGTATTGAATTTCTGTGGTTTCTGTATGGGAAATGTGTTCTGTGTAGATTTAGAAACTACCTCTAAGCAGTTATTCATAATGCTTTCATTAAAATGGCTTTTGGTTTTGATATGTATCCATAGGTTCTGTCTTTCACGCATCCTACCTCGTTCCACTCTGCAGAGACATATGAATCTCTCCTGCAGTGCCTCAGGATGGAAGATGATAAGGTAGCAGAGGCAGCCATTCAGATATTCAGAAATACCGGTCACAAAATAGAAACTGATCTCCCTCAGATAAGATCGTGAGTGCAATCCTTCCCATATCAAAAATGTTGGGGATATGTCATTTGCTTCAGTATTTCAGCAGGTCACTGTCCATTATTGCATCTTCGTGATTATGATGGGATGATTGGAGTGGCTCCACATACAAATCTTCTAGCTTATTTTTAAAAAATATGTTGGACAACGCTGACCCTATGGCCTAGATGGTCTGATGGTGGAAAATTTCATTAAAGCGATATTTCAAGATAAAATTTGGTAAAGTTCCTATAATGACATTTGACATTAATAAATATATTAAGAGTTCATAAAACAATTGGCTGTCATCCTAACTATCATACTAATTTGAAGTTTGTGGGAGTTGAGAATGAGATTTATGACCTGGGTCAGCCTATCCATGGATCAGTGTAAATAAGTACTGTACCTGTTGTGGCTCAGCCTGAGCATGGGCTTTCTGAGCCTGAGTTTTCTCAGGACGAGGAGGAGGATGGGTTACAGATTTCTGCATATGTCCCTGTTGTTGAGGCAGGCAGTGTTGATTTTGAAGCACCTCAATTTCCCAGGGAAAGGAATGTTGTTTTGGAAGACAGTCATGATGTGGATTCACACCTGCAGGTGGAGGAGTCGACTGGTCCTTCTGTGAACTCAGGGTCTATCGATTCCTAGGCACAAAATAATGAGGGCTCCGGCCTTGAAAGTAATGAGGATCTGTGTAGGGAGGACCGTTTGCAATTAAGGTTACGCTGAAGCACCCGGCTTGCAAACAAGCGGGAACTTCGGGGGCAACGTAATGCTTTCATGCTAGGAAAACATATTTAATGATTGTTTGAAGGCAACTCTTTGTCAGAGTTATCTTTGCTCACACCTTGTGGACTTCCTTGGAATCTCCTCGGCTTTCAGGGGGACTTTGCTTTTGGATCTTCGTTCCTGGGGCTTTGTCATGATGCTATGGATTCTGGTTTGACCAATGCTTGTGGATTATATTCATGTTATTTGCTTTTGGACCTTGGAAGCTTTGCCTTTCATTTAAGTTCCTGTTTTGACTTTTGAACTTCAGCAACCTTATTTCTATGTTTTAATTTTACCTTTCTTCAATAAACTACAAAACCTACAGCCCTGGTGTGTGGTGTTGTGAATCTATCCTGAGTTGCGACAGTACCTTAATTCATTTCCTTCTCTAAGTAGAGGTGAAAGGCAAGAGTTTAATATAGCTTGGGAAAACCTTATGAACACATTATCCGCCCTGCCATTACCCACCTTGAGCTGTGAGGAGAGGCGAAGAAAAAATAAAATGTTTTATTATTGTTGTTGTAATTTCTATTGTTACCATCATCGCTGCTGCTAGTAGTAGTAATCGTACAGGTACTACTTCTCTCTCCTCTACAGCATCACTTCTGGCCTTTTGAATGCCTTGGCAGGAAAATGGTGGTAGTGACGCTTTGGTGCTTCCCCTCAAAGGAGCATCAATAAAGTAGAGGGAATCCGTCCTTCTTGAAGTTTCCCTTTTTTATAAGAGTCAACACTGCAGCTTCATTTTTGTCAAACTAAAATTACTGAGTAAAGTGGCAAGATGCCTTTTTTAATCCCTTTGTATTTTACTGAGGTGGTGCTGGCGCTTTCCCCTTTCTGCAGAATGACCATAGACTTACGGATCATATAAAAAACCATAATTTTGGCCTCCAAATCTGTATTCAATTTACTCTAATTCACTCCAAAATAGTCGCCACCCCCCCCCCCCAATTGGTATTTTTCTTTTCTTCGTGCGCATTAGCTGGCTGGGTCTGGGGCTCTGCCTTCTCCCTCCTGCCTCCTCAGAAGTAAGAAAGGAAAAGCCCCAAACCCAGCCAGCTCCCTTTGTATGTCTATTTGAAAACCCTTATCTCTGAGGAGAAGGCTGGGCCTAGAGCTCTCCCCTCACTCTACCTCCTCCTCGGAAATAAGAGAGGAAATTTGCCTTCCTCTTTGAAAATAAAAAAGGGAAAGCCCCAGACAAAACCACTGCTGCACATTTTTTTTCTTTGTTTTTTCTTTGCACCTCCCTTTTTTCAAAGAAAAAAATGGATAAAAAGTAGGGATTGTGGTATTCATGGGGCTGACATATATGTGTATATATATTACTTTTCCGCACAATTATTTTTGCTTCCAGTTAAATTTTATAGTTTCATATGATGTGATCCTGGGGTATCTGAAGAGGTTGGACTGATTTCATGGAAGTATTTCAAAAAATTTATTTGGGATTAATTTGTGCATGTGTGTGTCCCATCTGTGCAGAACTCTAATCCCGATCTTGCATCAAAAAGCAAAGAGAGGAACGCCTCACCAAGCAAAACAAGCTGTCCATTGTATACACGCCATATTTTCAAATAAAGAAGTTCAGCTTGCACAAATCTTTGAGGTACGTTTGCCTTAATTACTTAAATATTGGAGTAATAATGATTAGGCATTGTGGGAATGATTGTGCTTTTCACAACACAATCCGTGAGTTTATAATTGTGTAGTAATAAATGACATTTCACAAAAGGGCAGTATAAATAGAATGAAATACAATATTTCTTCAATTCTAAGGTGCACTTTTTCCCTATATAAATATCTCTCAGAGTTTCTAACTTCTACATGGCTAGAAAGAGCACTCTGGAGTGGTGATATTAGCCCTCACAATTGCATGTAAAATGAAGACATTAGCAGAAATTTAGCCATGCTATCCTAATGTGTTCCTCTCCCCCCCCCCCCTCCACAGGGAGGATCAGTAAGAGCCACTCTAAACCTAAGCAAGAACTGAAATTCATATACTGTTTTGTGATGTTACTTGTTGACAGTCGAAAGCAGTTAGTTCATTAGAGTATATTGCATTTAAAATAATGAGACCTATACGTCTCATAGAAATGTTGCTAAATGACAGTACATAGTTTGGGAAGTAATGCCTCTCTATTCAAAATCAAGAATATCTTTGTTTCCTTTTTTCAGCCTCTGAGTAGAAGTTTGAATGCTGATGTTCCAGAGCAGCTTATAACTCCGCTAGTTTCTTTGGGTCACATTTCTATGTTGGCACCAGATCAGTTTGCATCACCAATGAAATCTGTAGTTGCAAATTTTATTGTAAAAGATCTCCTGATGAATGACAGGGTAAGTTTGAATATGATATGTTTAAACAAGACCATATGATGTGAATGAAAAACAGCTATACAAATAACTGATATGAGTCTATGGGAAGAAGTAAAAGTGTATTCAAATTACCTTCTAAATAATATATTTGTGCCTTTCTCTTTGAACTGTTCTGTAAAAAAATCTTGTAAAAATATTTGCAGTCTACAGGTGAGAAGAATGGAAAGTTGTGGTCACCAGATGAAGAGGTTTCTCCAGAAGTTCTAGCAAAGGTAAGTTGATATTTTCCCTTGAGGTCATATGCAAAATAATTATATGCAAAATTATTGCAAATACAATGAAATAATTTGGATCATGCCCCAATTCTCTGCATTCCTCCACACTTGGCCCAGATCATCCTTTCTTTTGTCCATTTCAATTAGAAAATTTGAATGGGTGCAATGTTTTTGTTTCTACATATAACTGGATGAAACATGAAGGTGTGATAAAGATTGGATCAATTCCATCCAGTTGCCAGAAGATATGATAAATTTAGCTATTTTTGTTTGAACAAGCTGGATTCCGTTGCTCATTATCCAACATTGATCACATCCTGACTGTTAATAGAATATTGGAAGTTGCCCACAAATACCAGATGCCACTTGTCCTCACTTTTCTCAATTACAAGAAGACATCTGACAGTGTGGAACCAGAGTATGCTTGGAACAGTCTGAGGGGAGCAAGGAGTGCATCAGCATCATCCAAGCATGCTATAGGGGATGTATAACAACATGAATGCCTTTTGAACAAGAAGTTTTTATACCTGTAGAAAAGGTGTACGTTATGGTGATCCCATCTCACCTAACCTTTTTTCTGCTCTGGAAAGTGTAATAGGAGACTGTAATTTATCTGACAAAGGTATACTCATCGATGGGCGTAGGCTTATTCACCTGTGCTTCACCAACAACATAGTTCTAATTATGCATTCTGCTTCAGAAGCCTCTAGCATGCTTAGTGAGCTTTGTAGCAGAAGTCGGTCAATTGGATTAAAGATGAACACATAAAAGACAAAGATACTCCGAAACAACTTAGCAGATAGTGCTGCAGTCGCAGTAGATGATGTCAACCTCAAAATTGTAGAAGATTATGTCTACCTTGGAAGGCTGTTAACATCAAGGAATGAACTGAAGCCGGAGTTGAACAGTCGCAGGAAAGCAGGATGGGCTGCTTACAATTCCATTAAAGCCTCTGCGGACTCAATCGGAAGTACATCTCTGTGAGCTCAATTGTTTGACATGACCATACTGTTGGCCCTCTGCTGTGGTGCAGAGACATGGACAATGGGGAAGTCTGTCTTGGAGAAACGCATGCCTCCCTCGAAAGACAGCTCATTGGGATGTCTTTCCGGACACAGAGAACCCGGAATGCACAATGAGGATGTTTAAAAAATATCAAAAGTGATACATTACGCAACTCAAACAGCGCTTTGCAGGCCATGTTATCTGCAGAACAGATGGGCTCTGGAGCTATGCTACGGCAACATGGTATCCACGGGGATGGACGAAACAAAGTTTTTGCAGTTTAATAAACATTTTCCATGTTTTTATGATAGAATCAATTTTTGTTGTTCATTCGTTCAGTCACTTCCGACTCTTCGGGACCTCATGGACCAGTCCACGCCAGAGCACCCTGTCGGCCGTCACCGCCCGCAGCTCCTTCAGGATCAATCCAGTCACTTCAAAGATGCATCCATCCATCTTGCCCTTGGTCGGCCCCTCTTCCTTTTTCTTTCCATTTTCCCCAGCATAACTGTCTTCTCTAAGCTTTCCTTTCTTCTCATGATTTGGCCGAAGTACTTCAACTTTGCCTCTAATATCCTTCCCTCCAGTGAACAATCAGGCTTTATTTCCTGAAGTATGGACTGGTTGGATCTTCTGGCAGTCCAAGGCACTCTCAGAATTTTCCTTCAACACCACAGTTCAAAAGCATCTATCTTCCTTTGCTCAGCCTTCCCTATGGTCCAGCTATCACATCCGTAGGTGATTATGAGGAATACCATTGCTTTGACTGCGGATCTTGGTTGCCAGTGTGATGTCTCTACTCTTCATTATTTTATCGAGATTGGACATTGCTCTCCTCCCAAGAAATAAACGTCTTCTGATTTCCTGACTGCAGTCTGCGTCTGCAGTAATTTTTGCACCTAGAAATACAAAGTCTGTCACGGCCTCCACGTTTTCTCCCTCTATTTGCCAGTTATCAATCAAATCGGTTGCCATAATCTTGATTTTTTTAATGTTTAACTGCAACCCAACTTTTGCGCTTTCTTCTTTCACCTTGATTAGAAGGCTCCTCAGCTCCTCCTCGCTTTCGGCCATTAAAGTTGTATCATCTGCATATCTAAGGTTGTTAATGTTTCTTCCAGCAATTTTAACCCCAGCCTTGCATGCATCAAGCCTCGCACATCTCATGATGTGTTCTGCATACAAGTTGAATAGGTTGGGTGAGAATATACAACCCTGCCTTACGCCTTTCCCAACCTTGAACCAGTCTGTTGTTCCATGGCCAGTTCTTATTGTTGCTACTTGGTCCTTATACAGATTCCTCAGGAGAGAGACAAGGTGATTTGGTATCCCCATACCACCAAGAATTTGATAGAATCAATTAGGAAAAATCGTGTAACATAGTGCAATATATTAATCCAGGAGTAAAACATCATATTGTATTCACTAAACAAAAATTTGTGGGGGAGTAGAACATAGAATAGTTGTAAACCAGAAGGGTTTCCCTGTTCCCACGTGAATAAACATTTAATTGGTTTTTAGGAGAGATTCCTCTGACACCCAAATGCTTCTTTTCACTCCCTAAATGAAAGTCAATCTCAATCAAAAATAATGCAAAAAAGAAATATATATAATGAATAAAACCCCAAAATAAACCTTTTTATTTATTGCAATGCTGAAATATAGGAATAGTGGACAACAAAATGATTCAAACATGCAACATAAGCTAGCAGTGGATACAATTTTGCCTATGTGTACAAAACCATAAAATACAAATATAGCTCCAGAAGACAGGGATAAGATGAGAAAAAGCCTTACATCCTAAGCTAACAAATGTATTTAAGAAGCTCTTGTTTCAATTACTTTGTTTTTAAAAATCGCCTGTAAAATTTTTTGAAGACTTTAAAATCAAAAGAAAAATTGAACTCTGTCAGACATATCTAAACAAGTGATTCATAATTTTTATGTTTGTCTTTTCATGTAGTCTGTGAATACATGATGAGATAGCTAATCCTGCAAGTTTATATGAGTATTTTGATAAATATAAAATGAAAGTTTTCATTTTTTTCTCCAATTCCATTTTTGCATAATGTAAGAAGGATGCACATGAATACTTTTTGCCGGATCTGAAATTAGGAACATGATTCAGAATTTCTGCAATCCTTTGTATGTATACGATAGCTTCATAGAATCGATACACGTATAACTATAGTCACATTGGGTCTTGATCCATGGTGTAAATACATATAGTAGCAATATTAATAACAATTGTATAATTTAGGTTTTAATTGCTAAAATGTAGTTGCTAAAATATCACTAAAAAATAAAGTCAAAATATTATCCGAATTTGAGCTATTCAGCCAGAAATGCAAAACAATAGTACAGGATCATATATATTGGGTGTGAAGCCCAAAGGGTAGATTGACGACAAATCAGAATAAAGGATTAAAAAACAGAGTAAAGTGAAACCTTCATGCTTTTTATCTTAATAGGTTCAAGCAATTAAACTTCTAGTACGTTGGCTCTTTGGTATGAAAAACAACCAGTCAAAATCTGCAAATTCCACACTTCGGTTATTATCAGCAATGTTGGTCAGTGAAGGAGACTTGACAGAACAGAAGAGAATCAGGTAAGAGGCTTTTGAAAATTATTTTGTGTTTGATCTGGGAGTATTTTTCTTTGTGCTCTAGTACAAGAGGAACATCTTTCAAATAGTCTGGATAGTTCTGTTCTAGCTGAGGAAACTGGTCTACAGGCATCATGCTGATGCAAACACTGTTTTTGCAGCCCTGAATCACTTTTTAAAAAACAAATTTGCTTTCTTCCCATCTGTAATTAAGAACTAATGCCAAATTGCTAAATATACAGTCTCTTCAAAAGGTTTCTGCACTTTTATATTTTTTTGTTGGAAATGGTGAGGGCAGGAGGAGGAGTAATTGGTTGTGTCTGAGAGTGTCATGTGACTAATCTGTCTGGCAAGATGACTGACCTTGCAGTTTAAGAGTTACTACACTATGGCAAAGAGGGCTGCAAAACTCATAAATTGAACCAAAGAGGAACACCATTCTGTCATATGCTTTTTGTGGGCAGAAGTTGATTTGGGAGCACAAAGGCATCTCCGCATGTGTGCTCAGCATGGGGATAAAGTTCTCTCTCATCTTCTGGAGCTCTCAAGGGTCTATTCTCAAAACATGGAACAATCGTCACAAGTGCAATGTATTGTGACATGCTTCAAAGATAATTGAAACCCGCAATCCACCCTAAAAGAAGAAAGGGAATTGTGTTGTTGCATGACAATGCCCATACCCACGCTGCAGCCCATTGGCAACCCTCAGACAATTGAAGTAGGAGGTTATGGAACACCCATTTTATAGTCTGCATTAGCACCCTCAAAGAAGCTTTAAGAGGAAGAAGATTTTAATGTGATGATAATGTAAAAGCAGCAGTGCATCTGTGGCTGTGTGTCCATCTGAAAATATTTTTTACTGATGGCATTAAAAAGAAAGAAAAATGCATCATAAAATGTATGGAAAGGTGGTGTAATTTGTTTTTAAAATTCTTTATAAATAAGTGTTTTTAAAAGTGGAAATTTTTAGAAGTACACTCGTATTAACACAGTGGAGTTGATTCGCCTATTAAACTATTTTGTTACTTACCAGAAAGTGTTATTTTGCAAGTACTTTGAAGTTAATCCTTGGTCTAATGAAACAGGAAGCCTTTATTAGTATATTAAGTGTAATAGGACTTATCACATAGCCTTCCCTTTTGCTGTTTAGAGTACCATTTTGTTTGTTGGGAGAGGTGCATGTTCATGGCACCATACATACAGTGATATGGAAGACATGTAACCTCTTATCAAAAGACACTGAACATTAAATACTGGATGATATATAATAAGAATAATACAATATTTATACTATTGGATTAAGAGATAAACAAGACCATAAGGATTGAAATCTGAAATCTGGGGCTTGTACTGTCTTACACGGGGCCTTTTCTGTGGTGGCCCAAAGCTGTGGAACTCCCAAGTGAAATTAGATCTGCTATATCCCTCTTGACCTTTCGGAAACAAGTGAAATCCTGGCTATGGGATCAGGCCTTTGTAGATTAGGTTGACCTGATGGCTTTTGTGGAACTGACTGTCAGCTCCTTGGATGATGACTTAAACTGGCTACTTTTGACTGTTTGATTGTCTTTATACTGTTTTATTGCTATATTGTTATTTAAATGGTAATTTTATGTTTTGGTTGTGGGCACCATGGGGTGCTGGTTTGTTAGGCGCCCTGAGTCCCTCTGCAGAGGTTGAGATGGGACGGGATACAAATGTCTGAAATAAATTTGTTGAACATTTGGTAGTAATAACTGGAAAACATTTCCTTCAGTGAAAACGTGTTTGCCTGACCTTGAGAACATCTGTGGATAATAACACTGTGCACTTGTGGGTAGCCAAAAACAAATAAACAGGCACAGAAGACTAAAATTGACGACTTACTGCTGACTAAATCTGTTTGATAGAAGTGGGTGAATAGCTATATGAATTTTAAAAAATATCAAGGTATTTTGCCTCCCTTTTGGAGAGAATATTGGCAATAATGACAACAGGAGTAAAAGAGTATTTCAGCAAATTTAAACGGATCTTTTACAACATATTTGGGAGGAATGTCAAGGGATAAAAAGAGAACTGAAATCAGACCAAGATGCCATTTTATTTTCTCAGGACACTTTGAAGAATGAACTGAAAATTGAATTGCGAGAGGTTAAACTGTCATTGACTCAATTGGCAGCAGAAGTGAAATCTGCAGTGGAACAACTTGACATGTTAGAGAAAAGAGCAGATTCCCTTGAAAGCAAAATAAAAGCTGCAGATGATGGAAAGCTTTTTGATAGGGAAAGAAATTTGAATTTATTAACATTACAAGATATTAAAGAGAGAATATTGTATCAAAATTCAAGGTTTGAAGGAAGAATCACAAAAAGGCATAAGGAGAATGATGATGGAGGGTTTAACACAGAGGTCCTCAAACTAAGGCCCGGGGGCCAGATATGGCCCTCCAAGGTCATTTATCCGGCCCTCGCTCAGGGTCAATCAAAGTCTGAAACAACTTGAAAGCACATAACAACAACAACAATCCTATCTTATCAGCCAAAGGAGGCCCAAACTTCCCATTGAAATACTAATAGGTTTATATTTGTTAAAATTGTTCTTCATTTTGATTATTGTATTGTTTTTAAGTGTTTTTACACTATAAATAAGATATGTGCAGTGTGCATAGGAATTCATTCATGTTGGGTTTTTTTTCAAATTATAATCCGGATCTCCAACAGTTTGAGGGACTGTGACCTGGCCCTCTGTTTAGAAAGTTTGAGGACCCCTGCTTTAACAGAAGATTTGGGTATAAAGGAGACTGAACTTGAGAAACAGGTTGACAGAGTTTTTGGGATCATTAATAGAAAAGTGGATCACAAGAAAGTACCAAGAGGTGTGATTGTCTACTTTGTCAAAAAATAAAAACCTGATTGAAAGAAGAAAAAAACAAAAACAAAGGGAAAACTCCTACGGGCAGCAGTCTTCTTAATTCAAAAACAATAGGTGACTTGGAAATTTCCCAAAGATTGCTTTATAAGTTATCGACAATATCAGAAGAGCAACCCAGCTCAAATATTTACCTGGTTGTTTACTGAGTGACAGTCATGAAGAGGGAAAAATCTCAAGTATCTTCTGTAGAGTCCACTATAAACAGTGTACAACAGATTCTTGTAAATGTCTAAAACAGGCATTAGGTGACAATCAGAAAACTTTTACTGTTGCCATATGCAAAAGTCATGCATTTTTACTTTTAACATAATTTGATTTTCCATACTGCTTATGCACCTTCAGATAGTTATGGTTTCTGAAAGAAAGGATGTTTTTTTTTCTTTTGTATGCAGTAAATCTGACATGTCCCGTCTGCGACTGGCTGCTGGCGGTGCCATAATGAAACTTGCACAAGAACCTTGTTACCATGAAATTATAACCCCAGAGCAGTTCCAACTCTGTGCACTGGTAATTAATGTAAGTAAATGTTTAGAATGTTTTGACAAATCAGAAGGGCAGATTCTCAATGGTAAAACTTGTGTTCCTGGCACATAATTGTGCCTTATTTAAACATACCATATATATTCATGTAGGAGCCCCTGGTGGTGCAGTGGGTTAAAGCACTGAGATGCTGAGCTTGTTGACCAAAAGGTCGCAGGTTCGAATCCGGGGAGCAGTGTGAGCTCCCACTGTCAGCCCCAGCTTCTGCCAACCTAGCAGTTCGAAAACATGCAAATGTGAGTAGATCAATAGGTACTGCTCCAGCGGGAAGGTAACGGCGCTCCATGCAGTCATGCCAGCCACATGACCTTGGAGGTGTCTATGGACAACGCCAGCTCTTCGGCTTAGAAATAGAGATGAGCAGCACACCACAGAGTCAGACACGACTGGACTTCATGTCAGGGGAAAACCTTTACCTTATATATTCATGTATGTCTACCTCATATATACCGTATATACTCAGATATAAGCCGACTTGAAAATATAAGCTGAGGCACCTAATTTTACCTCAACAAACTGGGAACCCATATTGACTTGAGTATAAAGCCGAGAGTGGGAAATGCAGCAGCTACTGATACATTTCAAAAGAAAAATAGATACCAATAAAATTACATTAATTGAGGTATCAGTAGGTTAAATGTTTTTGAATGTTTACATAAAACTGTAATTTAAGATAAAACTGTCCAACTCTGATTAAACCATTATTCTAACCTTCTTCAATGTAAGTTTGTTTACATATCCTTCCAATAATAATAGAGTAAAATGTAATAATGATAGTAGTAATAATAACAGAGTAAAGTAATGGAAATATAATAGAGTGAAATAATAATAATAATAAAAATGAGTAAAATAATAAACGTCACAATAATAGAGTAAAATAATACATGTAATAAAAATAATAATAGAGTAAAATAATGTAAATGTAATAATAATAATAAATAAAATGATAAATAACTTTGTCTCGAGTATAAGCCGTAGGGTGAGTGGGTTCAGCCTTAAAACAGGACTGAAAAACTCTGCTTATACTCAAGTATATATGGTAAATCAAGGGCAAATTTGGAGGCTGACATTGTCAATTTTGATATGACCTGTGAATAAATCATTGTGCAGGGAGGGGAAAGGACCAGTACTGCCGCAGGAGGTATTCTAAAAGTCAAGAAGGGATGCTATAGCAGAGAGAGAGTTGAGGAAATCATTGCTTCTTTTAGGTTCTCTTAGGATAGACTAAACTCTTGTCCTTCACCATATTTCTCAGAGAAGAAGATGGCTCCCTTTTGATAAGAGTGAAAGTACAGTACTCACATTGGCCCTTTTTAAAGTCGATCCAGGTTTATGGGGTTGATTTTTGACTAAGTTTTCTAGACTTATACCTGAGTATATGTGGCATTTTAAAACCTCACAGAATTATACATGGATTTATTTTTGAAAAGTATGACTTTCTTTTATAGACTTATATGCATTCATCATATTCTTTTCCTCTTGCAGGATGAATGTTACCAGGTGAGACAGATATTTGCTCAGAAGCTACACAAGGCACTAGTAAAATTATTGCTCCCATTGGAGTACATGGCAATATTTGCACTGTGTGCCAAAGATCCTGTAAAAGAAAGGAGAGCCCACGCAAGACAGTGTTTGCTTAAAAATATTAGCATACGGCGGGAGTACATTAAGCAGAACCCTATGGCCAATGGTTAGTAGATTCAGCTTTAATGAAAATGATTGCATGTGATACTTTTTTCCAAATTGTTCATCTATAAGAAGGAAGCAATAATGTTCATGATTTTAGATGCCAGATCTAAATTCAGTACTTCAAAACACTGAATTAACATCTACTTATCTTGCAAAATAGATAATACATAGATTTCCTGCTGGCATGATATCAAAAAAATAACTCTGTGATATTTTACTGCGTCCATGTATAATGTTGCTTGCTTATGCAGCTTTTTATATACTGTTATTCCAGAAAAACTGTTATCCCTGCTGCCTGAATATGTGGTACCATACATGATTCACTTGCTGGCTCATGATCCGGATTTTACAAAACCTCAAGATGTTGATCAACTTCGTGATATCAAAGAGTATGTGTCATTTTTATTAGGTGCTTGAACAAATGTGAATATAAACATGTGCCTCTGGTGTGATATGCTTAGAGACTGTTTTATTGTTTTAATGCTGTTGATGTATTGTTTAATTTATGATTTATGTTAATTGTGGTTTTTATTGTAACTGTTATGTATTGGCATCATGTCAGGTGCCCAATTGCAAGGCATTGAATTTTGCCATTTGTGTGTAAGCTGCTTTGAGTCCCCCCAGGGGTGAGAAAGGTGATATATAAATGCTGTAAGTAAATAAATAAATAAGAGATTCTAACATATAACCTGTTGTTGTAGCAGCTCCACTGGCTGCCAGTTCGTTTCCGGACACAATTCAAAGTGCTGTTTATGCCCTTTAAAGCCATATACAGCTCAGGTCCAGGATATTTGGCTGACTGCTTCTCCCTGTACAAACTTGCCTGGGCCCCAACATCTTCAGGAGAGGCCCTTCTCAATCCCACCTCCATCTCAGGCTCTGTAGGTGGGAACAAGAGAGCGGGCCTTTTCAGTGGCTGCCCCTTGGCTCTGGAACTCGCTGCCTAGGAAAGCCAGAATGGCCTCCTCCCTGCTGTCCTTACGGCGGCAGGCTGAAACCTTTTTATTGAAGCAGGCTTTTAGAGAAAGAGGTTTTTAAGATCAAGTCAGGGGGTGCTATTGTTACTATTGTTTTCTGCAGTGGCTCTAGACCAGGGGTCCTCAAACTTTGTAAACACAGGGCCAGGTCACAATCCCTCAAAGTGTTGGAGGGCTGGATTATAATTTGAAAAAAAAAAACATGAATTAATTCCTATGCACACTGCACATATCTCATTTTAGTTCAGAAACGATACAATACAATAATTAAAATGAAGAACAATTTTAACAAATATAAACTTAATAGTATTTCAATGGGAAGTGTGGGCCTACTTTTGGCTGATGAGATAGGATTGTTGTTGTGTGCTTTCAAGTCATTTCAGGTTGACCCTGAGTGAGGGCTGGGTAAATGACCTTGGAGGGCCGTATCCGGCCCCCAGGCCATAGTTTGAGGACCCCTGCTCTAGACCATTTCAGGCCCTCATGACTTATGGAAAAAGTGATTATTTTGGCCTTTGTATTTTGTTTTGGATATATGATTAAAATGTTCTGATTCCATTTTACTGGGTTCTGGTTCCTCTAACCTCCAAGCCGTATTTCCCAAATTCAGCAACTTCTTCTGCACATAAGCCCTCCTTCTTTCTGCTCTAAAATCTGTTTCCAGTAGCTTCTCATCTCGTCCCTTCACCTTAACTCGGGGGAAAAAATCAACTTTCTAGTTCTTTACTTCATAGAATCTGTGGGATTTCTGATTGTCATGGGTTTCATAGCATTTACCTATTTTGTATTTTATCAGGTGCCTCTGGTTCATGTTAGAAGTCTTAATGACAAAGAATGAAAACAACAGTCATGCCTTCATGAAAAAAATGACAGAAAGTATCAAACTTACAAGAGATGCACAGTCACCAGATGAGCCAAAGGCAAATGAAGTAAGGAACATGGAAGGAGAAGAGTTTTAAAGTCCCTTACTGAACAGAATGTGTTAGAAGATGCACTAAGCCAAAATGTGCAATTTCTTTCCAGGGAGAATTATAATTGTCGGAGGCTTTCATGGCCGGAATCACTGTGTTGTAGGTTTTTTTCGGGCTATATGGCCATGTTCTAGAGACATTCTCTCCTGACGTTTCCCCTTTATTTATGGCAAGCATCCTCACTACCTCTGACTATACTTGCCATAGATGCAGGCGAAACATCAGGAGAGAATGCCTCTAGAACATGGCTATATAGTCCAAAAAAACCTACAACAACACAGAATTATAATTAAGCACAAAAATTAGCCTTCCAGAGTGTAATAGTTTTGAAGCCAAGGTAAATTGGGAATGTGGATTTCAGAGAAAGTGAAGCTAGTAACTAGAATTGTTACTAGCATTTTCTACAGAGGTAGCTGTGTCACTCAGTCTTCTGACGCTTGAAGATTGAACAATCATGGACCGGAATAGTTCAAATTATAGTTGTCTGGGGTGTGTTCTTTTTAAAAGGTGTGTTTTCCTTGCAGATTGCTATGGAAAACAAGCTAACTGAAGATTGCAAATTAATTTTGAATGTAATTATTGAGTTGATGTGAGTTTTCCGAGCTGCATGGCCATGTTCCAGAAGCATTCTTTCCTAACGTTTTGCCCACATTGATAGTAGGCATCCTCAGAGGTTGTGTGGTCTGTTAGAAACTAGGCAAGTGAAGTTTACGCATATATCTGTGGGAAGGTGGGAGAAAGAACTTCAGGGTGGGAGAAAAAACTCTTGTTTGCTTCAGGCAAGTGTGAATGTTGCAATTGGCCACCTTGATTAGCATTTAATGGCCTTGCAACTTCAAAGCCTGTCTGGTTGCCACCTGTGGGTAGCCCTAATTGATTCTTGTCTAAAATTCCCCTGGTTTTTGTTTTTGTTTTGTTGTTGTTGTTTTAGTTTTGCTCTTTATTTACTGTCCTAATTTTAAAGTTTTTTTAAAATACTGGTAGCCAGATTTTGTTCATTTTCATCATTTCCTCCTTTCTGTTTAAATTGTCCACATGCTTGTGGATTTCACTGGCTTCTCTGTGTAGTTTGACATAGTAGTTGATAGAGTGGTCCAGCATTTCTGTGTTCTCAAATAATATGTGTCCAGGTTGGTTCATCAGGTTGAATTAGTCTGCAGTGCCTTTTATATTCAGTAAATAAAGAGCAAGACTGGGGAATTCCAGACAAGAATCATTCAGGGCCAGCTAACACCTCCAAACAAAGAATCCCCAGGCAGCGACCAGCCAGACTTTGAAGCTCCAAGGACATTAAATGCTAATCAAGGTGGCATTTTGCAACAGTCACACTTGCATCAAATAGACAAGAGTTCTTTCTTCCACCCTGGATATTCCACACATATATAAACCCCACTTGCCTAGTTTCAAACAGACCTCTCAACCTCTGAGGATGCCTGCTGCAGATGTGGGCAAAAAGTCAGGAGAGAATGCTTCTGGAACATGGCCTTACAGCTCAGAAAACTCACAGCAACCCACTGATTCCAACCACGAAAGCCTTCTCCAACACATCAAACTTAATTATTGTTATTATTCTCTTCAGAAACTCTATACTGTGTGTGATGTGGCCCTGTGTGTGATCAACAGCAAAAGCGCTTTATGTAATGCAGAATCCCCAAAGGATCCCGCACTACCAACCAGATTTTTTACACAACCTGAGAAGGTAACATTGAGATTGTCTGCTTAGATGTAGTTTTGCATGTGGCAAGAGAACAGTTTGCATTCCTCTGGGTTATAGAAATTAAATTATATATTTAAATAGTTATCATAATATGATCCTGTTTTCCAGGAAAAAAAGTGTTTTGACTTTTGTCTTATGTATTTTAATAGTTGTATGTTTTAATATATGCTTTTATAGAATGCATTTCAACAATGTTTTAATATGTAATTTTATATCTGTTTTACTATATTTTGCCCTGCCTCAAGCTGAAAGAAGAGGCGGGTAATACATTATTATTATTATTATTATTATTATTATTATTATTATTATTATTCTTGAATAGCCATTTGCAATAGCTATGTGGTTTTTTTAAAATATTAAAGCAAATGAAAAACTAAACTATATGGAATCAGTAATTTGGCAGTACAGACTAGTAATAACATGCTGAAACTTTATTCTTTATAAACTTACATTTATGCACAGTTGATATTCTGCCTTATTGCTAGAAAAAAAAATTCTCCATCTAGTTAAAAGCTTTCCATTGGTTCTGTGGAATTTTCAGTGTTGTTATTGAAATAGCTTATTTGTCTTATTACAAACTGCTTCAGAAATTATAGCATTTCAGAAGCAGTTTTGCTTTTGCAACGTGAACAGCTGCTGTTAAACATCCATTAAATCACATACTATATCTTGAAAATATTAACATAAAAGCAAACAATATAATGTTCTTTTTTCTTTTCCTTGAAGGATTTTTGCAATGACAAGAACTATATTTCAGAGGAGACAAGAGTTCTACTTTTAACAGGAAAGGTACTATTTATAGTCACAAGTATTGATTGTCAATCAACCCAGTTACTACCAATGCACAGAATGAAATGGCAATGCAGATCACACTGACTTGAGAGTAAATCCAATTGACATTACTGTGCTTTGCTTCTGAATAAACCTTCTTACTTAGGTCCGCCTTAAGGAAACCTATGTTGGAGGGGGTACATATTTCATTTTCTACAGCCGTACCTTAACCTGAGAGCACAATGGAGTGCGATGGACTATAAGGGGAAATACTCCTTGGATGATATGCACTTAAATGGTGTATTTTAATATTTTGATCAATGTTTTTTAATGTTTATGTATTTTATGTGAATTTGTGTCCCAGCATTGAATGTTTGCCGTGTATTTGCTGTGCTCCGCCCTGAGTCCCCTTCGGGGTGAGAAGGGTGGAATATAAATATTTAAATAAATTAAATTACATGTGTCAGACTCAAGCCCCGCAGGCCAAATCCAGCCCACCATATTGTCTTATGCAATCTTCCTGATGCTGGACTACAATTCCTGTATTCATCCTCATTAGGCATTATGACTAGACTGATGGAAGTTGTAATACAATAACATCTGGAAGACTGCAGTTCTGTTTAGTCGGGATAGTGGGATTTGAAGTGGTGCTGTTGAACGCCAGATCTGTCAACGGTAAAACAACTTTCATCCAGGATTTAATCCTGGATGAACGGGCAGATCTGGCGTGCATCACAGAGACCTGGTTGGACGAAGCGGGAGGTGTAAATTTAACCCAGCTTTGCCCACCAGGTTTCTCTGTGCAGCACCAACCGAGATCCGGAGGGCGGGGAGGCGGAGTTGCAGTGGTCTATAGAGATTCCATTCTTCTGACCAGGGCCCCCATCCCGCAGTCAACAAATTTTGAATGCGTCCACCTGAGGGTGGGTGACCGGGACAGATTAGGGATTCTGTTAGTGTACCGTCCACCTCGCTGCACTACAGTCTCCCTGCCTGAGCTAGCGGGGGTGGTCTCGGACCTGGCATTGGAGTCCCAACGGCTGCTTGTGCTGGGGGACTTCAATGTCCATGCCGGGACCTTTCAGGAGCAGCTCAGGACTTCATGTCTGCCATGGCAACCATGGGGCTGTCCCAACAAGTAACTGGCCCCACTCACAGTGCAGGACATACATTGGACTTAGTTTTCTGCCAGGGATGGGAGGAAGGTGGCGGTGTTGAGGAGTTGACCATCTCTCCGTTGCCATGGACCCACCACTACCTGGTCAGATTTAGGCTCACTGCACCCCCTAACCTCTGCAGAGGTGGAGGACCCATTAAATTGGTCCGCCCCAGGAGGCTTATGGATCCGGATGGTTTCCTGATGGCTCTTGGGGATTTTCCCGCCGCCACCTCGGTTGGTGATCCTGTTGATGCTCTGGTCGCTCTCTTGAATGGGGAGATGACTAGGGCAATAGACACGATCGCTCCAGAACGTCCCCTCTCAAGTAGCCGAGCTAAACCAGCTCCTTGGTTCACTGAGGAGCTGGCAGCGTTGAAGCGAAAGAAGAGGGAACTAGAGAGCGTGTGGCATTCGGATCCGGGCGAGCCAAATCGAACACGGTT